CGTTTCGCAGCGGATGTTGAGCGAAGACGGAGCGAGGGACAACAAGAACAGCACGAAAGCGAAAAAGCACGGTTCAGCTCGAGCACTGGGGCGGGAGGCGAAAGCGAAGGGAGAAGCGGGGGAGGAGAAGCAGCAGCAGCACAGCTGCATCGATACATAAACAGTTGCTTATGTAGAGAGAAGGGGGGGAGAGAGAGAGAGAGAGAACACACAAATATAATGAGCAACCAGCTAGTTTTAACAAACAGGGGGAGGAGGAGTGCAAGCTGCAGCACCACCAACAACAGCGAGAGGAGGAGGCAGAGGAGGAAACGGCAGCAGGAGGGAGGGGGGAGAGGAAGGGAGGAGGAGGGAGGGAGGAGGAAACGGCAGCAGGAGGGAGGGGGAAACGGCAGCAGGCCGGAAGAGGAGCAGGAGGGAGGGGAGAGAGGAAGGAGCAGGACGAGGAGGAGCGAGGGGAGGAGCGGGACGGGAGGAGCAGGAGCAGAAACAAAAGGATCAGGAGTGCGACGTCAACGAAGAGTCAAGCACGACAGTCGGAGTCACAGTGCTTCGAGCATGAAAGAAGAAGAGTCAGAAGAAGAAGATGATGATTATGACGAAGATGAAGATGAAGATGAAGAGCAGAAGGGGCAGCTGGGAGGGCCACCAGCATCGTCGGCCGCTGCATGGCCACACCAAGGCGTGCACGCTCTGGATCGCGGGCTGCTCGCTGCTGGGGCACTGCCTGGGCCTCGGGGAGACCCCAGCGGGCGCTCGCGCGCAGTCGACGACAACGACGACTTCGTCGTCGTCGTCATCATCTTCCCTCCTTCCTCTGACCTCTTCCTCAGCCGTTTGCCTCGAAAGCGCAAAATACCTATCTCCCACCAGTCAGCCGGCGTCAGCAGCCTCATTGTTATGGAGTTCGCATGTTAGCAGAGTTTCTCAAGTCGAATTTGTTTTGTCACTTAAAGTTTGTAGACTCGTAGAAGCTAATCATCTTTAGTCCCTCGATGTCGAGCGAAGGCGGCAATTCTGGGCTCCCTCAATTGGCGGGGGTCGTTCGTCTTCCACATTTGTGTGCGAGCTTTTGAGGTCGAAGACATCCGAGCTTTTCGATGTGTGTAAGTGTAGACTGTAAATTTGACCCGTGGCCCGACGCAGTCCTTGCTTTGCCTTCTCATCATCCCGCTTTCTCCTCCTCCTCCTCCTCCACCTCCTCCGCCTCCTCCTCCTCCTCCTCCTCTTACTCCTCCTGGGCAGGTTTTCTCCGCCCCGTCCTGTTCCCTCCTGCATCGTCGTCCTCCGAGCGTCGTCTCTTGCGAGATCGTCTTGTCCCCTTCGTGTTCTCCCTCACTGCCAGCAACTACGTATGATCTCCCGGGAGGCACTACGGGCCAGTCTGCCAGGCGTGCATCAACCGCTCGCTGTCCCATATCGGCCCCTGCCCGTGAGCTAAAGAGGGCATCAACAGGCCAGCGTGGGCCATTCAGGTCCCTCAGGCGTGCTCTTTATACTACCTTGCACTTGCCAGCAGCGCCTGAAGCTTCTTGATAGAATCTAGGAGGTGTCCCACAGGAGACCCCAGAGCTGCCCTGGCATCGCTCGCTCTTCCTCCTCCTCCTCCTCCACCTCCTCCTCCTCCTCCTCCTCCTCCTCCTCCTCCTGCCCATCCTCCACCCATCCTCCATCACCCCTCCTCCTCCTCCTTGCTCCTGCCCCGCGGGGCCGCCATCCGCGTGCTGATGCTCCAGCGATGCCACCGCCCGAAGGACGGGGACGCTGGCGCGCGGCGGACAGTGGGAGGGGGAGAGGGTCGTCGTTGTCGCCAGGAGCGGGGAGGGATCGGAAGGGATCTTGATCGGTCCCCGAACGTGGCACCCCACCGTAGGCTGTGCGCCAAAGGCGGAGGGCCATCCACATGTGTACGTCCCAGGGCCCACAACTGTCGTGCAAGCGACGTTCAGAGGTATCTTCATCATCAGCATCAGCATCATCAGCATCTTCATCATCATCATCATCATCATCATCATCAGCAGCAGCAGCAGCAGCATCATCACCATCACCAGCATCATCACCATCACAATCACCATCACCATCACCATCACCTCCTCCATCTTTTCCAGCCTTCCTCCTCGTTCCTCCGCCTGCTTCCCTCCTTATCCTCCTCATCCTCCTCCTCTCTTCCTCTTCCTCCTCCTCCTCCTCCTCCAGCCCCGCCCGTTAAAGGAAGTTCTCGGTTCCTGGCGCGCTCCGTGTCTTAGAGCGCCAGGCTTGTATGGAAGCGAGCCTCCAGTGCAACCGATTGTGCTTGGATGTTGCCGGACATCGGTTGCGATCGAAGCGACCATCCCATTTGGCCACAGCACGGCTCAGATCGCTGGTGCGCGCTGCGATGTGGCCGCTAGGACGACTCAGACCTCTGGGGACACGTCGGCACACGGGTTTGGGCAACCCCGGACCTCCCCACCCCCTCCCCCCCGGGGGGGCCAGCTTCCATCCCGCGCCGCTCTGTGACGGGGCCCCGCGGCCCGAGCGTGGCCCTCGAGGGTGCCGTCATGCCCGCCGCGCCCGCCTTCGCGTCGAAGCGCGAGACGCCCAGGCCGGCGAAGCGTCCCGACCACAGCTCTGTCGGGGAAACGCAAGACTCGAGCAGGCCAAAACTCGGGTTTGCCGAAGTTTTTGGACGAGCGCGTCCTGGATGTTGGCGCTCCGGTTGTCGTGGGGCGTCTGCAGCGGGAGCCCACGTCAAGTTTCAGCTTGGATCTCGTCATTGTCATGATGGCCCCCGTCAGGCCAACCCGAGTTCCCCGCACCAGAGTCTCACGTCTTCCCGACTCTAGACACCACATCTTTCTGCGGCATCTCTCGAGCTCGGTCGACCTGTCAGTGCTCCCGGGGCCCTGAGACCAGCCGAAAGCGCCTGGGGGGTCAGAAAAAATGCGACCCCCGGATCTCAGGTCCGGCGATTCGGGGCCCAAGAATCGGCCCCCAGACCCATGGCGGTGCGCATATGGAGTACATGTCGGAGACGGATCCAGCGGTTGCGATGTGGAGCGCCCCAGGGGCGACAGAAGGGCGAGGAACACGCCCAAACACCTCAGCCTCGGAGTTGAAGCCTGGAACTCTGCGTAGGCCTCCCAGATGGGTTCGGAGTGGGTCGGAGGATCGCGCCGCATCGCCGGTGTACCGCCGACGCGGCTCGATGTGGAGCCCGATTTGCTTCACGTCGACGTCGCCGATGCATCGCCGACGTCGATGATGTATCGCCGGTGCATCGTCGACGCATCGCCGAACCCCATCCACTCCGACCCCATCTGGGAGGCCCTCTAGGAATCTTGAAGGCCACTCGGCCGGCGGCGGGGGACGCCCCCCCCACAGGCTGCCCCCAGGACAGGGCTCATTCCGATTCCTTCGACTTGATGCGACTCGACTTCGTCAGAAGGGAAAGAAACACACAGACATAATTAATCGGCGATTCCCTAGAAAATATAAAAAAAAAAAAAAAAAAAAAAAAAAAAAATGGGAAGTGGGGGGGAAGACAGAAACCCAGAAAATACGAGAAAATATTGGGAATAGTTTTACTTGTCTGTATTTATTTGTGTGTCCCAGGGCCCCTTCACTTCGATCGCTTCCGCCTCCGATCCGGCTCCACTTCGGCTTCCGATGTTCAGGCCCCCAGAGACCAGGACACAGATAAACCAGGACACGGAAAACAAAGGAAACGACATCCTTTCCTGCAAAGTCGCGTTTTTCAGCACCCGTACATTTGTTGTTTGTTGCACTGCAGGATTCGGGTGTGTGTCCGGGTTAAGGGGGGTCTTGCAGGCTTTGTGGGCCTGTGTCCGGGTTTATTCTGGAAATGCTGCAGTGCAGTATTTTGTTCGTGCCGCCGTTTGGCAAAAATTGTTTCGAGGGATCATGGGTGTCCGGGTTTAGCGTGTCCGGGTCTACGGGGCCCTGAGATGTGGCTTCTGGCCGCCGGCTCGGCTCCTGGCGGTCGACGATCCGACCTGCCCCAGCCACGCGCACAGGGGGGTAATTAGGGGCAGGGGGGCCGGCTTCTCAGAAGCGCCCCTGCCTCATATGGAAGGCGCGGGCCCTGCCTGTGGGGGCAGGGCCAGCGCCTTCTCAGAAGCAGCATCCTTCCATCAGGAGGGGAAAAAACACACAGACACAATTAATCATCGATTCCCCAGAAAAGATGGGAAAATATGGGAAGTGGGGGGGAAGGCAAAAACCCAGAAAATATGGGAAAATATGGGGAATCCTTTTATCTGTGTGTATTTATTTGTGTGTCCCAGGGCCCCTTCATTCCAAGAAGCCTCCCCCCGCCCCCGCAGGCCCCCTCCTGCGCGCCGCCAGCAGAGGCCCCCACGGCCTCGCGCGGGGGGGGGCGGGGGGCAGCTCTGCGTCCCAGCTCCGCTGCTCTGGCGGCCTCGGGGCCCGACGTCGGGCCCTCCCCGGGGCCCACTGCGCTCCGATCGACCCCCAGCTGGCACCGACCTCGGCCGGCCCCGCCTCCTCCTCCTCCTCCTCCTCCTCCTCCTCCTCCTCCTCCCTACTCCTCCTCCTCCCTCCTCCCTCTCCCTCCTCCCTCTCCTCCTCCTCTCGCCTCCTCCTCACCTCCTCCTCCTCCTCCTCCTCCTCCCCTCCTCCTCCTCCTCCTCCTCCTCCTCCCTCCTCCTCCTCCTCCTCCTCCTCCCTCCTCCTCCCCTCCCGCCCTCCCTCCTCCTCTCCTCCTCCTCCCTCCTCCTTCCTCCTCCATCCTCCTCCTCCTCCTCCTCCTCCTCCTCCTCCTCCTCCTCCCCTCCTCCTCCCTCCTCCTCCTCCCTCTCCTCCTCCTCCTCCGTCCTCCTCCTCCTCCTCCTCCTCCTCCTCCTCCTCCTCCTCCTCCTCCTCCTCCTCCTCCTCCTCCTCCTCCTCCTCCTCCTCCTCCTCCTCCTCCTCCTCCTCCTCTTTCTCATCCCCTTCCAGGCCCCCTCCGCCTCCGTGCCCCGGGTGCGCGCCGCCCGCAGGAGTGGCACGACTGCGTGTACTTCTCGGTGATCACCATCACCACCGTGGGCCTCGGCGACGTGGCGCCGCGGCGCCCCTCGGCGCGGGCCGCCACCGGGCTGGCGATGCTGTTCGGAGGGGCGCGGGCGTCCGGGCCCCCCTCGCGCCGCGGAGGCGCGTGGCGTCTTGTTGCTGTTGTTGGGGGGGTCTCGGGGCCTTCCTCCCTCCTCCTCTGCTTCCTCCCACTTTCTCCTCCTTCCTCCTCCCTTCTCCCACATCCTCCTCCTCCTCCTCCTCTCCTCCTCCTCCCTCCTCCTCCTCCTCCTCCTCCTCCTCCTCCCCCCCCTCCTCCCTCCTCCCTCCTCCATCCTCCCTCCTCCCTCCTCCCTCACACCTCCCTCCTCCTCTCCCTCCTCCCTCCTCACTCCTCACTCCTCACTCCTCACTCCTCCCTTCTCCTTCCTCCCTCCTCACTCCTCCCTCATCCCTCCTCTTGGCCCACTGACCCACTGATGGCAGAAATGTCTTCGCGACGACGCCATCTCTCGTCCCGGTTCGATGTTGGCTGATCTTGGGAGCGGGAGCCGGTCTCGGACGCTCTGGTTCTCGAGCGCAGGGGTCTGGAGGCTCCAGCTGCGCACGAACGGCGCGTGCGTTTGTTTGCGCACGCGGTGTAACCTTCGGAGTTCTGTAGTCTTGCATGCCCCCCCTGTTCTATCGGCGGGGAACGGACTCCGCCCCTTCTCCTGCTCCTCCTCCTCCTCCTCCTCCTTCTCCTCCTCCCCCTCCTCCCCCCCCAGGGTGAAGACCAGGTCCCTGAGGTCCCGCGCGAGAAAAACACACGAGGCCCAGGATCTGGCGAGGGAGGGGGCACCAGGCAGGGCCCCGCTCGGTTTGATAGAGCAGCTTCGATTCGGTGTCGCTCTCGGCTGGCCCCATCCGCTTCCAGCTCCGATGTTCAGACCGCGAGGCGGGAATCCATACATGACCACCGCCCGGAGGACCAATTTTCGGGGGCCTCGGGAGGCAGTGGATATGGATATGTTCGGGCCCCCCGGGGGCCAAAACATATCCATATCCACCGCCCGCTGGGGCACCAGGACGTCGGTTTCCAGGCGGTAGATACGGATAAATCCCCGCCTCGCACAGACGGCCTAGCGCGGCCTGGCGCTCGCGTGGCGTTTCTGTGCATCCTGGCGCGGCCGACTCGCTGCGAGGCCGTCTCCGTGCCGACACAGGCCGGTTCGATGCATGCTCCGATCCCACCCGTTTTCGCGATGCGGCGGTGGCTGATCCTGCGCCCGCGGCCAGGGCAGGAATGAGGCCATGCCCTGCCTCGTTGACGCGGCGGCGACGCCAGCGCGGGCGTTCCAGGGTTGAATTTTTCCGGGCGTTTGATCTCGTTGAGCGACGAGCGATCTCTAGCATCGGAGGGTGGCGATCGTTCAAGGTTGAGCGTTCCACGAAGTGTCAGAAGTCAACGCCCACGTCATCTCGACGCGAACTTGCCGTGGAGACCCCGGCCTGCGGCACCATTCCCGTCACAATTAGCGTTTTCGTACCAGGCAGAACATTATGACGCTCGTTGGCAGTAGTTGGCCCTCATTACCGCCTAGGAGCGTTTACACGCGTCGATTGGCGATATCTATCTCGGCCCGCCTTGTCCAGTCCGACTGGCCCGCCTTGTCCAGTCCGACTCCGGCAATTCCGACGGCCTGATGAGGCCCGATTGGCGCTGTTGGGCGACCTGGCGCGGCCGACCCGATCCCACTCGATTGTGTGTTGACGCGGCCCACTCCGACGCACGATCCTATGCGATTCGTCCCGGTTCGATGTTGGCTGATCTTGGGAGCGGGAGCCGGTCTCGGACGCTCTGGTTCTCGAGCGCAGGGGTCTGGAGGCTCCAGCTGCGCACGAACGGCGCGTGCGTTTGTTTGCGCACGCGGTGTAACCTTCGGAGTTCTGTAGTCTTGCATGCCCCCCCTGTTCTATCGGCGGGGAACGGACTCCGCCCCTTCTCCTGCTCCTCCTCCTCCTGCTCCTCCTCCTCCTCCTCCTCCTCCTTCTCCTCCTCCTCCTCCTCCTTCTCCTCCTACTCCTCCTCCTCCCCCCCTCCTCCTCTTCCTCCTCCTCCCTCCTGCTCCTTCACTCCTTCTCCTCCTCGTCCTCCTCCTGCTCCTCCTCCTCCTCGTGACGCTCATGCTCGTCTCAATCCTGCTGAGAAGGAGGAGGAGGAGGAGGAGGAGGACGGGGAAGGAAGAGGAGGAAGAAGAGAAATAATTATTTGCCAGTATTGGTGGGACCCAAGTCCGTCAATAAGGACGTCAAGAAGATACTATGCTTCCACTATTGGGGGGTCTTAAGACCTATCGCGGTTAACACCTAGCGTGGGGACCATGCTTCTGACCCCAGAGAGTGAGCTCGTGCTTTCGTAAGGTAGATTCTGACTTCAGGGACTCGGAGGCCTCCACGGTGGGCCAACACGATGACAGCTCGAGGCCCCCCAACAAGGTATGCTGTGCAGAATATGTATGCAGCCTTGGGCGAAGCCGACGGGTTGCAGTTACCTTAAAAGATATTGAACTCGTCAGCTCCACCGATCGGGTAGCAATCCCCCCCACCATCCACCTACAGAGCGTTGGCAAAACCCAGCCCGCTCAGTGCACGAGAACCCTTTGCCATGAAGATCCACGACTCGGGTGCGCGAGTGAGGATGGTGACGACAACATCGGCGACGACGACGACGATGCTGATGGTGGTGGTGCTGATGACGAGGGAAACGACAACTAGAATGGCGATGGCAACTATTATGGTGGCGATGCTGAAGTTGCTGATGATGATGATCACGATGACGACGACGACGACGACGACGACGACGATGATGATGATGGTGATGATGATGATGATGATGATGATGATGGTGATGATGATGACGATGATGATGACGATGACGATGATGATGCTGATGATGATGATGATGATGATGATGATGGTGGTGATGGTGGTGGTTGTGACTATGGCGACGATGGTGATGCTTGGGAAGATGGCGGTGATGATTGCGATGGCAGTGTTGACGTTGACGATGATGGTGATGACGATGGCGCTGGTGAGGATGCTGAGGAAGTGGGCGACAACAGAAAGTCTGACAGTTCTCAGATTAGGCAACAAGCGTCTTTCGCATAGGTTTGACAGTATCGATGTTCAAGTTCCTCGAGAGCCAATGGTGATGTAATGAGTTCGACCTGCGCGCGCAGACGCGTGCCCGTGTGGCCCGCACTGCTCCTTCGACGGTATTGGCGAGTGCGAGGTGATTGCTAAGTATGTTCGGATTGGGCGCGTCTGCAAAGTCTTACGTCGGGCATGTCCCTCAACAGGAGGAATAGTCAAGAATAGTAAAAAATAGTATGGGAACGATGTGTCGGCCATTTTTGAGTATGTGTGAGTCTGTTTTGACTATGTCACGTTTCTTCCAAAATCCGCCTGTAGACGGACACGCCCGAACCTAAACAAAGTCTCATTTGACAGAATGGCGACAAGGGGCTGCCTTCTGAATTCAGCGAGTGCGCGCGCAGAATGATCTTACAGTGTGGTTTTCGGAGAAATAGGTTTTGTTTGCATACGCTGTCGCCAACTATTCGAAGCCAATGGTTACGGAAGCAGCTCGACATGTCCGCGCGTGCGGTTCTTACAAAGGCGCGTTGCTCGATCGACGCGAGTGCCCCGCGTGATATCGTTTGAAAGGGATGACTGGGGGGTCGATACTGGCCTCCTGCGCACGATTTCACAATATACGTAAAACTAGCGATCGCCCAGGGCGAGTACGACAACACAACGCGACAAGCCAGATGAACAAGTTCGGCCTCTGCATGCGGGCAGAGCCTCAGGAAATATCATGTACGGAGTGCGACCTGTGAAGCGCAGTCTCCATGGGAGAGCCTTGCCGACCCTGCACATGCTTCACGCCTCCTCCTCCTCCTCCTCCTCCTCCTCCTCCTCCTCCTCTCCTCCCTCCTCCCTCCTCCCTCCTCCCTCCTCCCTCCTCCCTCCTCCCTCCTCCTCCTTCTCCTCCTCCTCCTCCTCCCGCACCGTCTCACTACGGACTACGGACCGCTGTCGTGCCTTGCACGCCACAGGGCACCAGCCAAGAGGCACCGTCAACAGGATGCCCACCATAGGGCGTTAGCCTAATTTATACTGCACCAGAGCGCAGAGCACCCGCGCGTGAATGGCCGACTGCCCCAAGCAGGGAGCCACACAGGCAACCCGTACAGTGAGGATGAGCGACTTTCCAAGGCCCCCCCTGCATCCCTCCACCTCCGGCCCATCCTTGGCCGCTTTCTCTCTGGCCGCGCCCCGCCCGCAAAGGGTCGGCACGTCCCTCCGAGGCCCGTTGCATCCTTACCGCGCATCCTTGCTATGCGGGTCGACTGCAGGTCGCCATCCACGGGGCATCAGTCCAGAGGCCACCAGCACGCGGGAGGCCGATTGCCGCAAACAGGGAGCCACAGGGCACCAGCCGTAGGGCACCTACCAGTTGGACACCAGCCGCCTGCGGTCAACAGCACGCAGTGGGAACCCATGCCAAGAAACACCCTGCCTGCCTCCAGGGTGCCCTGGGTTTCTTGGGGTTCGACGGTTTTGCGATGGAAAGCGTGACGGCCCCACACCAAGAATCAATGGGCGTCCTGGGGTCTCAGGGTTGGATTTCTTGTGGAAGGGTTCTTGTGGTCGAGCTCCTACTGTAACGACAGGTCTCGGGCCCCTAGACCATCAAAAACGGATCCGGGACGGCAAATTGTCCCCGGGGACGGGGTCGTGGCCTCTGGGCCACGCATTGAAAAATCACCTCGCCGGGTGTCTGGGAGCACAGCTAGGGCGTCTTGGAAGGTCTTTGGGAATGCTTGGCTTGCATGTCGGAGGGAATCCCTGCGGCCCGCCGGGTGTCTGTTCCCAAGCTTGGTTCGCATGTCTGATTTTCTCCTTGATCTGCCAGGCGCTGGTCCTGTTTGCCGCAGCTGGCTGTCCGTGCGCTGGTGCCGCGTGCGCTGCTGCCCTACCCTTGGCCGGTGCCCCCGGGATGCCCCGAGCGAAGGAAGGCACCGTCGGCTGCCTGGCTTGGCTCCAGGGCGCGCCCAGACTGCACCGCGTGCTCCGTCGGCCGCGCGGCCCGCCTCCCCCCGCGCCGACATGGGCCGCACCCTGGAGGACGACGCCTGGTGGGCTGCGCAGACGGTGGCCGACGGCCCCCACGCCGGCAGGGCCTGGTGGGGCTGGGGCCTGGCCGCCGAGCTCCGGAAGGAGGCCGCGGCGCTCGCGAGCAGGCGCCGGGGGCGGCAGAGAGGGGGTGATGACCAACCAGGGGGGGGGATCGCGTGGCGTGGGCCGTGATGCCTCCCCAGATCTCGTGGCGCCCCTTCTGTTTCACGACGTGCCTGGCCCCGCCCTGGGCCGCGCACGTGCCGCCGGCCATGACCTGCGCCCCCCCCTCGTGGATGCCGCCCTCCTGGCCGAAGCCGCAGGCTGGGCGACGCCGAGCCGCTGCGCCCGCCGACCGTCGAGGAGGCCTCTGCGCTGCTGCCGCCCCCGCGCGTCTCGCTCGCGTCGCTGCCGCCGCGCCTCCGGCGCGTGTGCACCGACCGGGCCTTCGACCGGCTGCTGCACGCGCGCGGCCGAGACGGGGTGGACGTGCTGCGCAACAGCTCGGAGAAGGGAAGGAGCCACGAAGAGAAGCTCTGGGCGCTCCGCGTGGGTTTCTGGGGTCCGCTCTGGGTCCCCGTCGGTGCCTCTGGCGCCGCCCCTGGCGCGCTCCGCGCGCCAGGGGTGGGGGCCCAGCGCGGACCCCAAAAGTCTATGTTTATGGCGTGTTGTCTTCTTCTGACATCGGTGGCGACCTGAGCTGCGCGCACGACCTCGTGGCCTACCCCGAGAGCGAGGCCGACGTGGCCGCCCTGCTGGCGGAGTGCGCTGCCCGCCGGATCGCGGTGGTGCCCTTCGGCGGCGGCTCCAGCGTGGTGCAGGGCGTGAGCGCCCCTCCGCGCGAGAGCGGCTGTGCGGGCAGCGTTGCGGTGGACATGGTGCACATTCGGGTAGAGGACCGAATACAGTGGGGGCGCGCATCAAGAAACCATATGATGTTCGTCACGGCATCCTGGGTTTCTTCGCTCCTCGCGCTGCGCGGTGACTTTCAGCGGCCGCTGAAGGAGCTTCTGCATTCAGGGTGCTCCGGGTTTCCCCTCAGATGCACCTCGCGCGGGTTTTCAGGGTTGGGTTTCTTGCGATGGTTTCTTGCGGCCGCGCCCGCACTGTACAGCATTGATGTACCCCAGAATTGACTCGAGCACTGCCAGGACCCCAGGTAAGGAGGCACGCTTAGTAGTAGGGCCGTGGAGCTCCAACATTGGCCAGAATCACTAAACCAGGTCTGCCGTAGCTGGTGTTATTTCGGGTGACGGCAGTTCCGGTTAGTGGAACGGGCGGGTCCCCCAGTACACATCATGAAACCAGGTCCCACTAAACCCAGTTTTGCCATCGCCCGATCGACATTTCCGTCGAATCTGATAGAACAAATACGTCGCATGGATGTAGATCCAAGATCCATCGACGCACATGTTCCCTAGATTCGACGAACAAATCAGTTTTTGGGGCAACTCAATTCTGTCGTCGATCTCCTGCTCGACGCATGGGCGCCGTCCTCAGCATCGACGAGGCGTCGCAGTGCGCGCGGGTGCAGGCGGGCGCCTACGGGCCCGCCCTCGAGGAGGGCCTCAGGCGTCGGCGGCCCAAAGGGGGGGGGGGGCCCGGAGGCCCCTGGTACGCCCCCTGAGATCCTGCAGCTCCGCGATTTGGCCCCTGAGCACCTCCCTGGCTGCGGGGGCGGCGAGGATTACTGCACTGCTGGCTTTCGGCCCTGCCCTGGGGGGGGGCCGCGCCTCCCCCCCCGCGGCCCAAACCGAGGCAGCGCGCCCGGGCTGACAAAAACCACACCCTCTCGGGGAGCTCTCGGCCGGCCGAAGCCCCGCGCCGGAGCCGCCGCAGGCACGCGGGCCTCACCCTGCGGCACTACCCGCAGTCCTTCGAGTTCTCCACGCTCGGGGGCTGGATCGCCACGCGGGGCGGCGGGCACTTCGCCACCGGCCCCACGCACGTGGACGAGCTCGTGCAGAGCCTGCGCGTCGTGTGCCCCGCCGGCGCCACGGAGACGCGCCGGGTGCCCGCGTCGGGCGCGGGGCCCTGCGAGCACCGGCTGTACGTGGGCTCGGAGGGCGCGCTGGGCCTGATCACGGAGGCACGCTGGGCGAGTGCCCTCTTCTTGTTTGTGTGTCGAGTGTGTGCGGGTCCGTACAGCATACGAGTCTGCACCTGCCCCCGGCCAGGGCTCCGCCCCGCCGCTCGAGGGCCTCTCGGGGCATTCCCGGTGCCGCCCTCCGGGGTCTCTCCCAGGCGGCCCCGGGAGAGCCTCGGGACGAGTTCCTGGGCCTCCCAGGCGGCCCGCAGGAATCCTCGGGACGGCCCGGAACGCATCCTAGAAAACCTAAAAGGGCTCTGAGGCTCCCACGAGCACCCAAGAGAGGGCCAAGAAGCTTTCAACAGGCCCCCAAGACCATCCGAAAGAGCTCCGAGGAAGCCCGAGAGAGGCCGAAATCCTTCACACACAGCGGAAAATCTCTGTTTTGGGAGTTCTCGCATTTTCGCCTCCGACAGTCTTCCGAGGCTTCCGAGGCTTCCGCGTGATCCCCAAGGGCGACCCAAGGGGCATCAAGAGGCCCCGAGAGACTCCCTTGGCGCCCGAAGCGCACCGATGTGGCTCCAAAGACGCTCCCACGAGGCTCCGACGAGCCCTCAGGAGGTGCCCAAAAGGCTCGCAAAGGCTCAAGAGCCCCCAGGAGGCCCCCAAGAGGCCCCCAAGAGGTCCCCAAGACGCCCCCGAGAAGCTCCAAGAGGCTCCAAGACGCACCCCCAAGAGGCCCCAAGAAGGTTTTCAAGACGCGTCAGAGGATCTCCAGGAGATGCCCAGCAGGCGTGCAAGATGACGGCGAACCCGGAGGAGGCGGTTCCTCTCTCCTCTTCCCTCCTCTGGCGGTTCTCCAGCCTCGGTGTGTTTTCCAGCAGCTGCGCCTCGCCGAGGGCTTCCTGGATTGTCTGGATCGTTCCGAACGACCGCCAGACATCTGAGCTGTGATCCGAAAGCCAGCGGGCAACGTCAGCCAATCGACACCCAATCGCAACCAATCGACACCCTATCGCAACCAATCGCACCCAGGGGAGGATGAATCAACACCCAATCGCAACCAATCGCCGATATGTCTCCAATACATCGGGCCCAGTCGCCCAACCCCGCCCAGCACCGTGCAGATTCGCTATTGGGGGCCTGTCGCCGATCCGTCGGCGATGTATCGCCGATTCCAGGTCGATGCTTCCCCCCCTGAGCAGGCCCCTCAAGAGAGGAATGAGAATGGAGTGATCAATTGGAGGCATCTTTAATGGGGTCCGAGTACGTTGGTGGGCTCACGCATCGCCGACTCGTCGGCGATGCATCGGCGACATCGAGGTGTAGATGATCGTGTTCCGGCTCCGACTCCATGCTCAGACCCCATATGAACGGTTCTCGCGTTCTTGTTTTCCCGGGCCTCTCTCCGGGCTCAATACATCCTTCTGAATTTCCCAGATAGCCCCAAGCCGGCCAAAAAGGACCCGAAGCGAAGAATGCCCCCCAAGGAAAGCCACAAGAGGGCCCCACGAGGAGCCCAATCTCCCTGAGTCCGCCAGGACGCTCCCAAGAGTCAGCCCCGAACAGGCTTCCAAGAAGCCCCTGTAATCATTCCGCGGCACTCCGAGAGACATCCAAGCCACCTTTCACCCACGACACGAGGCACAGACATTATTTGTACATGTGTCTGTGTATGTGCGTATTCCGATGTATGCGGGCTATGTGTTGTCCTCTTGAGCGTGCGAACGTATGTACCCATGCATGTATGAGGTGATATACGCAGGGGGGACATGAAATTAAGCGAATCATCCCTTTTCGGCCGTACGTGGAATTCTCTGCGGCGCACGATCCGTGTGAAGAGAGTGCCGAAATGGGCGGAGGGGGCAAGCCCCCAGAACGTCCCAGGAAGTCCGTAACAGGCCCCCCGAGGTCCCAAAAAGCTTCCAATAGGCCCCCACAAGGCGCCGACAGAGTCCCCACGAGAGCCCCAGGAGTCTCCAAGAGGCTCAAAGACACCCGAAGAGGCCCCACAAGGCCCCCCAAAAAGATTACAAGAGGCGCCCAAGAGGCCCTCAGAAAACCCCAAGTGCCCCCATGCGGTTACACAAGACCCCGAGAGACCGCTCGGAATTTCCCCCCCTGAGCTTCCCATGGGCCAGGACTTGTCGAGGGCGCTCTGGGCGACGACGAGAAGGAGGCGGAGGAGGAGAGGACGACGAGAAGGAGGATGAGAAGGAGGGGGAGTGGAGAAAGATGAGGAGGAGCAGGAGCAGGAGCAGGAGCAGGACGACGACGACGACGACGACGACGACGACGACGACGACGACGACGACGACGGCGGCAGCGACGGAACAAGGCCCCGATACTAGGCCAGCAACGGTTTTGGAGGAGTACCTCGAGGAGTACGTTCCAACATGCCCCGAACACCGTCCCAGAGGCTCCCTAGACGCTCACAACAGACCCCACAGAGAGGACCCAAGACAGTACATTGTGGCAGTTCCGGGACCCCCAGTTGGAAACCGTTCCGCCAGGTTTTGTTGAGGCCGCGGTTGGGAGTTCTCGAGGCCTCCCCTCCTCTCAGGTCGAACAGGCCCCCCTACAGGCGGATTCTGGGCGAAAAATTAAGAATAGAAAAACTGAAACATATTCAAAAAAAACGTCCCCTGATTTTTTTGAGTGTTTTTTTTGTTATCCCTCCCTGTAGAAGGACACGCCCGACTGAAAGCCGCATCGCACCGCCTCTTGCGGCCTTCCCTGAGCACCTCCGGGAGCCCTCTCGGGACGCCATTTGCAGCGTGCCTGGATCGTCTCGAAACTCCCTCGGGCCCTCGCGAGGCCCTCGCGAGAGCCTTCCTGCGCCACATCTTGGAGCCTCCTTGGGCCATCTTGGCGCTTCTCTTGGGGCCCCCAATTCTGCGTCCTGTGTGTGGCCCTCTTGGAACTCTGATGGGGAGCTCTTCGGGTGGCCCCTGTTTGCCCGCCCTTCACCGCCTGATCCCCGGGCCTCGCCCTCTCTCGGCCGCGTGAGGCCCCGCCTTCTTCCGCCCTTCCTCTGCCAATTCAAGCTGCGCGCGCCCCGCTTAGCTTTCAGCGGAAGAGGTTCGCTCTCGCCCCGCAGATCAAGAAGAACTGTGTGCCCGCCCTTCGAGCTCACGTTGCTGCAACTTTGCGGCGATGTTGGGGCGCTCTACCGCCCCTCTTGAAGCCATTCTGCGCCGCCACGTGGTGCTCCGTTCGAGTCCTCTGGGGGCATCCGCGGAGTTTCTCCAGGGCCGTCCAGCTCTTCTGGGTACCTCTTCAAGTCCTATTGGCGACATCGTGACGCAACTCTTGAGCCTTGTCCTGAGGTCTTTCCCGCCTTCTTGAGACTCCTTCTCAGGGCGCTTATTGGGGCCCTCTAGGCTCTGGGGCCTTCACTTGTGGCCCTGTCGGGATCTCTTCGGCACTTGCGGGGCCCTTTGGGGGCTTTCTTGTGGCGCTTTGGGCTCAGTTTCGGAAGCTATTGCGACGACTCTCAGGGCACTCCAATTCACTGGTTCGGGGCCTCTTTGAGCTGTCTTGGGCCCTCTCTTGAGCCCCTCTTGGAACCTCTCTAACGGTGCTGTTGGGATTTCCTTGGAGTGACTTCTGGGCCTCTCTTCTAGGCCCTCACCGCCCCCCCCCTCTGGGGATTTTCTTAGGGCGCTTAGCTCCTGATATCGAAGACGCCTACGGCGAATTACCGCCGCACCCTGCCTTTTGGAATCGCCCATGTGGCCGAGCGTTGTGGCACGAGCTCTACCAAGCTATCGGACCATGTGTTCCCCCAGCCGTTGTGGACGGAGAACGCTTGGGGGAGAATGGCGGGGAAGATCGGAGGAGGAGAAGGAGGAGAAGGAGGAGGAGGAGGGGGCATCTTGGGAGCCTCTGGGGGCACTCTTGGGGCCTCCTGGGAGCTTCCTGGGAGCCCCTTAGAGGCGTCTCGGAGCCCTCCTTGGGCCTCTTGGGTGCCTTTAGGGGCTTCTCGGGGGCCTCTTTGCCCCCCTTAGGGCATTCCTGACCCGTCAGACGCCGTCGGAAGCCGTCTTGGGGGCTCATCTCGACCTGGGGCACTCTTGGGGTGCTCCAGGGCCGTCTTGGAGGCCATCTTGGGCGTCATGGAGGCCTCTTGAGCCGTCTTGGGGCCCTCTCTTTGGGCCTCTTGGGCCCTTCTGGGGCCATCTTGGAGGCTTCTTGGGCGATCTTTGGGCGATCTTGGGGGTCTCTTGGGCCGTCTCGGGCTGTCGGACGGCCGAAAAGAAACAGATGCTAGAATAGTTGAGAAAGAATTAGGGACATCAATGATGTAGGTCGCTTCGGGCCGTCTTGGAGGCCCTCTTGGAGGCATCTTGGGCCGTCTTGGGGACCTGATGGGGGCCTTTTGGGCCGTCGTGGGCCATCTTGGAGCCGTCTTGGAGCCGGCTTGGTGGTCTCGTGGCCGGCCTGACGCTGTCGGAAGCCGTCTTGGGGGCCTCTTTGGGCCGACTTGGAGTCCACTCGGGATGCTCCAGGGCCTTCGTGGAGGCCATCTTGGGCGTCATGGAGGCATCTTGCGCTGTCTTGGGGCCCTCTTGGGGCCGCCGTCTTGGGGGCCTCTTGGGCCGTTATGCGGCCATCTTGGAGGCCTCTTGGGCGATCTTGAGAAGGTCTGTTGGGGTCTCTTGGGCCGTATCGGGCCGTCCGAAGGCCGAAAAGAAGCCACCGCCACCATGCCCGAACAACCTAAGGGAAAACAGTGATTTGGGCTTCTTCGGGTCTTCCTGGAGGACCTCTTGGAGGCCGTCTTGGAGGCTTTTTGGGGGCCTCTTGAGCCGTCTGCCGTCATTTTGAGGCCATCTTGGGCGATCTTGGAGACTTCTTGGGCAAACTTGGATGCATCTTGGACGCTACTGGGCCGTCGTGGAGGCTATCTTGGACCATCTTGGGCGAACTTGACGGCTATCTCGGCCGTCTCAGAGGCCCTCTTGGAGCCATCCGAAGCGGGAAAACCGTTTGCAGCTACCTCTGGGCAAGCAAGCCTCCCGGGTGGCCAGCGCGCTGGGCCGAAGCCCCAGGGAGAGCTCGTTGGGAAAAAGAAGCAAAACCAAGCCGAGTATAGGATTCAGCACGCCAGGCACATTTGTGGCAAGCCAACAGTGGGCGGCGGATCGAATGGCTATCGGTCCATCTCGCCACCGTGCCTGGCTTGTGGGTCAGAGTCCTCAGGGATGCTTCTTGGGGTCTCTTCGGATCGCTCTCGGGGGCCAAGTTGGGAAACGGTTCTTGGACCTTCTGGGAGCCAATTGGAGCCTTCTTGGGGCCTTTTGGGGGCCTTTTGGGGCCTCTTGGGACCTCTTGGGCCGTCTTGGGGCGATCTTGAGAGCCTCTGGGGCCGTCTTGGACGTTGTGAGGCGAATCTGCGAACAAAAAAAGCCTACATGTTTTCCTAATGGAATAAGGCGATGTTTGCAGAGTGGGGTCCTCTTGGGGGCCTCTTGGAGCGTCTCGGAGGCCTCTTGGGCCGTCCAGAGGCGCTCCTTGACCGTCTTGGGCACTTGGTGGGGGACTCCACGAAGTTCGCCGGGTCGTTTGGGGCGTTTCGACCGTCCCCGAGGCCCGTGCGGAACATCCCAGGAGCGCACATGAGCGCCCAAGAGCGCCCGGGAAATTTGTGGTCCAGGCCCTTAAGACACAGCGATCCTGGCTGCAGCAGCCGCACAGCTGTGAACCTTGGGGAACTCCACTTCGTGCCAGAGGAACGGAGGCGGATCTCTGAGTTCCCAGATCTTCTCGGGTTCGCTCGGCCCCTTGTCTTGTTTTGAACTACCTGACGCTGCATCGTCCGCTGGTCCACAGTGCTGTGCTTTGCGCTTTGCCTTGAGCTGTACTGCATGGCATTGCATGGCATTTGCTTTCCTCACTTCTGCTTGCAATTCTTTGCGTTGCATCGACCATACATCTGGTCTCCGTGGAAATTCGTTGCATCGTATTGCTTTTACATTCACTACGTTGCTTTCACTGGTTTGCATAGTGTCGCATAGAATTTGTCGGAAATGTTGTTGCTGGTACTTCGACTACACTCGGTCCGAGTTGATCGTTTCTGGGTCGCTACTTCATTGGAGTCGTGAGCTTGTCAGGAGTTTGGGCCGGCTGGAACCTAAGCGCGAGCGAAGCGCGCGCGCATGTGATTGTTTCTGGTAGATATACATACGTGTGCACACAGATACACATAAACATGCACATACACACACACTCATATACATACATATATACATACACATATACATACACATATACATATACATACACATATACATTCCCATTGCTTGCACTGAAGAGGTTGACGAAAGTTCCAGCACGGTTTCGGCAGGCAGCCGGGTTTCCAGGTTCCCGGTTTCGGGTTCCTCGGTTCCCAGTTGTTGGTTCCGGGTCGATTTTGGCGGGCGGTGGGGTTTCCATGTTTCCAGGTTCTTGGGTTCCCAATCGATCTCTGATCGATCCTACGATCGTATTCACTATCCATCCCGTGATCGATCTCATTATCCATCAGATTCAATCGATCTCACGATCGATCTCACTATTCCCCAATCAGCATTTGCACTGAAGCGGTCCTAGCGGAGGTTAGAGATTTGGCGAAAGTTCCCGCCCGATTTCGGTAGGCGGCTCTGTTCCTAGGTTCCCCTTGTTCCCCAGTTCCCCGTTGCTGTTTTTTGTCGATCTCGGTTGGCGTGCCGTTCCCATCTTTCCATGTTCCCGGTCGATCTCTTTATCGATTTCTTCATCGATCCCACGATCGAATTCAATATCGATTTCATGGTCGATACCATCTCATCCAATCGATCACACTATCGAACCCATCCGCGCTCTTAGTATCGATCTCGCTATCGATTGCACTATCGATCTCACTATGGACCTCGCTCAATCGATCTCACTGTCGGTCTCACGTTCGGTTTCATAATCGATCTCACTATCGACCTCACTACCGATCTCACTACCGATCGCACTATCGATCTCCCTATCGATAGTGCGATCGATAGGGAGTGCGACCGATCGATAGTGCGAAGATCCACACGCCCTGCGGCAAATACCACCGACGTGCCAGCAGAGCCATGTGGGTGCCCGCTGGTCGAATAGTAATGACGATGACAACGAAGACCCATTGCCTACGATGATGATGATGATCAGGATGGTGAGAATGGGCATGTTAACGTTGATCCCAGGTTGATGATGATTATGGTCATGATGATGTTGGTGAATGGTGATGTTGATGACAAGGATCATTGGCAAGAGGAGGCATAAGAAAAACGCCGTCACGTCCGGCACCACTCGACCTCACTTTTGGGAGATCATGCGGGCCATCCCGCGGTTGTCCTGGGCTCCCGTGGAGCAGTCTTGAGACTCAAGTGGGCCGTCTTGGGGCCCTCTTCGCCTATTGGGCCGTCGACGGGCCCGCTGCGATCGTCTACCTTGGAGGCCTTTTGGGCAGTTTCGAACGGACGGATGCCCGTAACGGCGAGAATGCCACAACCCTTCCAAAACTTACCGGGAATCAGCATTTAGGGCGCCTCTTCGGGCCCTACGGCGAAACTGCGGCCAGGCATGGTGCCTGCCAGATGTTCAAACCATCCACTGGTTGGGTTTATCTCTTGTGTAATAACCATATACATGTACAAAAACATATCCATATGCAATACATGTTCATATGGACGTTGTTCATATGTTCAGTTCCCTAATAACATGTATCTGCCATTGTGAACCCCAAACGATGATTACTTGTAGTGCGGATGTGCAAACTGTGTGGCGCAGGCTGCATGATGCAAGCTATGTGGTGCAAGCTCTCCGCTGCGGAGAAAGCTATGCGAACTGAGCTGTGCGGTGCAAGCTGAGCGCTGAAAGCTCCTATGCTCTGCAGGCTGTGCGGTGCACCCTGTGTGGTGCAGCACGGGATGCACCCCCGCATGCGCGCCTGCGTGTTGCCTCTGCCTGCGCGCGGTCCCACCGGGAAGAGCACAGCGCGGAGGCAGATCGGGGGCCCCTTCCGGAGTCCCGAGCTCTGGCGCGCTCCCCGCCCTCGCTTCCGCGAGCAGCGCCGGCCTATTCCTGAGCACGCGTGCGCATCTGATGTCATCACGCAGAGGGCGGTACGGAGGCACGAGGATGATTCCTAAGCATCGCCGCCCCCCCCCCACCCCCCGAGGCCCGTCCAGGGGTGCGTCCTGGCCAGAGCTCTGACTGGGATCCGGCCGTGGCGACGAGAAGCGCCCCCACCGGAAGGCCAGAGGCCCTAGAGGGGCGAAGAACGCTCCAAGACCTCAACCCTCGAACCTCGTGCCCGGAGAGCATGCGCGCCGCCGATAGAAAGAAGACGCGCGGGAGGCGTGGGTGAAGCTGCGCCCGCGGCCGCGGGCGCGAGCCTCGGCCACGCTCCTGTTCGCGGCCGACGACGCGGACGCCGCCTTCGCGCGGGGCGCGGCCGCCGTGCGGGAGACACAGGGGATGAAATCCGCAGGAGGTATTTGCACACACACACACACACACACACACACGCACGCACAAAGACACGCACACGCACGCACACACACACACACACACACACACGCACACACACGCACACACACACGCACACACACACGCACACACACACACACACACACACACACACGCACGCACGCACACACACTGGTCGCCTCTAGGGTGCCCTGGGTTTCTTGGGTTTCGATGGTTTTGCCGTGGAAGGCGTGACGTTTCAGCACAAATAATCAATGGACTTCCTGAGATCTCAAGGTTGGGTTTCTTGTGGAAGGTGTCTTGTGGACTGGCCTCCACTGTGCACACACGCACACACACACACACCGCCACCACAGCCAGGGCCATCCTGGGCCCCAGGGGCGGTGTATAGACGCTTCTGGCCTCGACCGGGAGGGCGTATACCCACGGTGCCTGGGCCCTGGACGACCCCGGCCAGGCGCGGTGGTGGTGTACATGGGGCCCTCCGCCGTGTGAGAAGACCGGTTCCGTAGCCCGTCCTCGTTTTCGTGTTGTTTGGCCTCGAGGAGAAGGAGGAAGAGGAGGAGGCCTCTTCCTCCTCCTCCTCCTCCTCCTCCTCCTCCTCCTCCTCTTCCTCCTCCTCCTCGTCCTGCGTCCTCCTCCCTCCTCCTTCTCCTCCTCCTCTTTCCGCAGTCGACACGGCTGGGATCGCTTCGAAATCCTGGTCAGACCGCACCCAAGAAGAGATCCAGGGAGCTCGTGGCGATAGTGTATGCAGCTGCGTGCGGCGCATCCGCCTCCACGCCAGCGAAGCACTCTTCGTAGCGAGCCGTCGTCGAGCACCGCCGAGAAGGACATCACGTGTGACAACTGTCGTCTCTAAGGAGCTCTCATGTGGCCGATTGCAAAGACCTTTCGACTGGTTCCGCCGAACCTAGGGGCGTGCTTGCCGTCTCGGGAGTTATGTTTAAAGGAGGGGGTCGAAATTCAAGGTCGAGTTTTCCCTATTGAGGCTTTCTTGGGAGCTTCTTGGGGGCCTGTTAATCTCGTGTGGAGGCTCGGGGACCCCTGTCAGACGCCTTGGGCCATCTTTCAAGATCCTGGGGGTATGTTGGACCATCTTGGGCAATCGGGAGCCCGAAAAGCGAAACGCGAATATTTGGCAAAAACGTAAAATGGTACCAACCGATTGGACCTCTTCAGGCCGTCTTGGGAATTCGCTTGGAGCCATCTTCGGACGTCTTGGAAGCCTCTCGAAACGTTTTGAGAGCATCTTGGGTTGTTTTGGAGCACCCTTGAGCTGTTTCAAGGCGGTCTTGGACCCGTGGTGCTGCTTACACGTAGTATGCTTGAAGCCTGTTGGGGCATTTGGGGAGCCTCTTGGGGGGTTCTTGGGGGTCTGATGGCGGTCTCGGGAGTTGTCTCCACTTCTGGTGAGCTGTCATGGGATCTGTTTGGGCCGTATTGGGGCTGTCTTGGGATCCTGTGGGGCAGTGCCGTGTTTGTGTTATATTCGGCCGTCTTGGGAGGTCTCTTGGGGCTGTCGTGGGGCCGTCGTGAGGCAATATTGGGCTGCCCAGGGTCCCTCCTGGGCAGCCTTGGGTTCCTCCAGAGGCCCTCTTCAGCCAGCTGTCGAGGGTCTAGAGGCCCCCTAGGAGATCTCAGTAGACCGATCTTCGATCGACGAGCGTGGAAAACAACACATAGCGGACGACGGAATGACAAAGCACTATGTTTGGCCTCTCGAGGGCCTCCTGCAGAGCGCGCGGGGAGAGTGTAGTGAGGCCCGCTGGAGGCCTCCTGCAACTTCTTGGGCGCTTCTTGGGAGCTCTGGGGTGCGTCTTCGGGCAGTGCTGGGCCGTCCTGGACGCCTCGGAGTGCCCTGGAAAGCACCGGGAAAAGGCGGCGGGCCGCCCGGGAAGCCTCGGGGGAGAGGGGGCCGGCGCACGCAGGGATAGGGGGGCAGAGGGGGGGGGCGTAGAAGGCGCGCCGCGCAAAGGAGGCGCCGAACGGCGCCCCGCACGGTCGCGCGCGCCGAAGGCACTTTGGAAGTGCCTTCGGGGCGGCGCAGGGGCGACAGAAAATGTAGGTGTTTGTGTGCCGGGAACCTACCAGACAGCACCCGCCGCTCCACCCCGGCGGCGGATCTGCTCCCCCCTCAGGAGATGGCGCAGACCGGGCTCCAGCCAGCCAACCTCCGGCTGGTCTACGGGCCAGAGGTCTCGACGATCGCGGGCATTGGCGGCGCCAGGCTGGAGGGGCGGATCGAGGGCCGAGGCATTTGGGCGTTTGGGCGTTTGGGCGTTTGGGGGGGCCTCTTCTGGGCCCTCCCCTCCTCCCCATCCTCTTCCTCCTCCCGTCTCGTCCCCCTCTTCCCCCTCCACCCCCTCCTCCCCCCTCCTCCCTCCTCCTCCCTGTTCCTTCCTCCTCCCTCCTCCCTCCTCCTCCCTCCTCCTCCCTCCCTCTCCCTCCTCCCCCCTCCTCGGGGGGTCCTCCTGGGGATCTCCGGGGACTTCTTGGGCAGACCTTTTGAAGGACCTCCTCGGAGGCTTTCCAAGGCGCCAGGCAGCGCTATGGGCAGGACACGGGCCAGGGACACATCCCCGGCTGGAGCGGGGCAGGAGGTGCAGCGACATTCTTCACCAGAAGCGCCTCCAAGCGAGCTATCAGCACCTTCGCGGCGGCGCCCTTGCGAGGCGTGGACGAGCACGAGATCTCCCGGGCTCGCAAAGATTCGTCCACGTGGGCCTGGGTGCACCGCGACGCTCCGCTGCTGCCGCGCCGCAGCTCCCAACGGCGAGCATTCGACGCCTGGCGCCTCGAAGACAGCCGAGGCGGCCGGCCGATCACGATGGCTGGCTTCTGGAGGCCAGCGTCGGGCCCCGGGGCCGCAAACAGACGACCGGGGATGAGCAGCGGGCCGTGGGGAAGCGCAGGTTCCAGTCCAGGACCAGGCCAGCGCTGGGACGGTTGGCTGCGTCGCGGGCCGCGCGGCCAGGCTCAGGGGCAACGATAGGGGGGGGGATAGGCATAGGGGGGGACGCATCGACCCCCAATCGTCCACTGATCGCCGATAGGGGCCCGATAGCCCCAACCCGCCCAGGAAGGTGGGGATTCACTATCGGGGGCCTATCGCCGATCTATGGGCGATGCAACGCCGATTCCAGGTCGATGCATCCCCCCCTATGCCTATCCCCCCCTATCGTTTGGGAGCGACGGGGGGGCAGGAAGAGGTGGAGGTGGGGGTGGAGTGGGCACAGTCTCGGGGACAGCAACAGGACCATGAAGCTACGCTCGTAGCCGCCACCGCGCGCAGTATGGTGGACATGCTCCAGGGTAGACTCGCGAGCGTGAGGCGTTCGACGAATAATGCACAGTACGTTTCGGGCGAAGGCACGCCGCGTACCTCAGCGTATGTACGCGCGGCTCCCACAGTCATCCCTCCGCGCGTGCACAATCATTGTGTGAGCGGGAGGAGGGATGCTTGTGAGAGCCGCGCGTACATACACTAAGGTACGCGGCGGGCCTTCGCCCGAAGCGTACTGTGCTGGTGTATTTACACATTTGTATATATATATATATATCACTCAATCAATCAATCAATCAATCAATCAATCAATCAATCAATCAATCAATGCGTGCACATATACATATATAATTGTATTCATGTGGATGTTCGTATGTATGTACTCATGCATACCCGCGCAGCCCACGCAAGTCTAGCGAACGTCCACCACACTGCGCGTGGGGGCGGTGGCGCACGCAGCTCCTCGTGGCCCCGCGGCTGCCCCCGAGGCCTGGGCCCGGGGACCCGCAGGGGGTGGGCTCCCAGGCCCGGCCAGCGGGGTGAGCTCTGGCCAGGACCTTTAGGTCGGGCCTGTCCCCCTACAGGGGGATATTGGACGACAAGTAAAACAGACTCAACAAATATTCAAAAGATGCCCAAACATACAAAAAAAAGTCCCCTGACTATTTTTTTCTATTTTTGAATATTCCCCCTGTAGAGGGACAGGCAAAACGCGGGAGGGAGGCCGGCCGTGGCCACGAGAAGCAGCCCCCAGGGAGGCCCCAATGTCAAGCAGTGGCGGCGCGTCCTGGCTCGCCTGTGGCCCTACCAAGCAGTGCTCTAAGAACCTTTTTGTGGCTTCCACGGAATGTTCTCAGAACAGTTCTGGCGGGGGCTGTCTCGCCTCAACACATATGAGGCTTCAGTTCTGAGGACCTCGCTTTTTTGTTCTCGGAACATGCTTGGGGGTTCTGAGAGAACTTCGTGGTGGGGCTATAGAAACGCTGGGGAGGAGGAGGAGGAGGAGGAGGAGGAGGAGGAGGAGGAGGAGAAGGAGGTGGAGCAGGAGGAGGAGGAGGAGGAGGAGGGGGAGGAGGAGGAGGAGGAGGAGGAGGAGGAGGAGGAGGAGGGAGCCCCCGGCAGGGTCCGCGAGGCCCGCGCCGGTACGCCGACCCCCAGCGGAGGGAGGGCGTCCACGGGCGGGGCCTGCCGAGGCCTCTTGCGGGGACCCCCCGGGGTGGGCCTCCGTAGTCGTCGATGCCCAGGAAAATATGGGAAAATATGGGAAGGGGGGGGGAGACAGAAACCAAATATATATATATATATATATATGTGAAATTTTGGGCAAACTGAGGCAGGGCCGCACCGCCGCAGAGCGGGCGGGGCCAGGGCGAGGACACTTCAACAAAAACACACAGACACGATTCATCGTCGATCCCCTGGAAAATATGAGAAAATATGGGAAGGGGGGGGGAAGACAGAAACCCAGAAAATCTGGGAAAGTATGGGGAATCCTGTTTTTTGTGTGTATATTGATGTGTGTGTCCCGGGGCCCCTTCAATACTCTCCGTTCCGAAGCGATCTCAGAACGTTCCGGGACACTCTGAGAAGGACGCGGCGCCCGAGGCATCATCCAGAGCCGCCAGATCTCAGAGATTAGCGATGTATCTCCTCACCCGCTTGAGATCCCCGTCTTGGCTTCGTCTTAGCAGACTTGGGACACCCCCGGGCCTCGAACCCCCCCTGGAGCCGAGGAGGGCCCAGCTGGCGAGCGCGGCGGTGCTGCTGGTCGGCCTGGAGGCTCGGGTCGGACGAAAGGGGGGGGGGCGACTGCAGGATGGCGAATATTGGAGATACCCAGGCTGGGCCCGCCACGCAGCAGCGCCCTGGGCGATGACTCATACAGCCGGATGTGGGACAGAAGAACGTCCTTCAAGAGCATGAGACCCCCCGTGGGCCAAGACACCCCAAACCAGGGTACCCTGGAACGTTCTTTGTGTTTTGGCCAGCGGAGGGTCTCATGCTCTTGGAGGCTGTTATTATGTCCTTGGTCCGACTGTACCCAGGCCGGGTCCGCCATGCAGCAGCGCCATGGGCGAGGATTCCCATCGTCATCCTACAGTCGGGGGAGGGTGCACGGTCGGACCGAGGTATAAGGTCGAGGTCGGTGCGGGGAGGGTATTCGAATGTTCTTGCGCATCCTGGGGAGGTGGGGGCGCCCTCGAAGGTTCTTCGGCTTGGCCAGCGGAGGGTCTCATGTTCTTGGAGGATGTTCTTCTGTCCCTGGCCCGGCTGTATCCAGGCTGGGCCCGCCACGTAGCACCGCCCCGGGCGAGGATGCACACAGCATTGGGCTCTCCGCCCGCTCGCGGGCGACCTCGTCGCCGATGAGATTCTTCGATCGCCCTCTCCATGCGATTTCTTGTCGCGGCGGCAGGTGATTCTACGGTCGATGGCCCCCGTGCGTGTTTGTTCCCATCCTCATCCGACAGTCGGGGGAGGGGGTACGGTCTGACGGAGGTATAAGATCGAGGTCGGTGCGGGGAGGGTAACTTGATGTTCTTCGTGCGTGTAAGGAGGCTCTTGCGCCTCCTGTAGGGAGGGCGCCCTCGAAGGCTCTTCGGCTTGGCTGGCGGAGGGTCCCCGCGTGATTCTTCCCACCGTCATCCTACCTTCGAACGAGGGGGTACGGCATCTGCTACACGCAGGCACTGCATTCGCTGCGCGCAGCTGGCTTCTGCTCCCAGGAGCATCGGCTGCGCGCTGACTCTCGGGGGCAACTTGGGGTTGGATAGGCTCAGGGGGGGGGGGGGGGCAGGCATCGACCCCCCATCGCCTATTCGTCGCCGACCGGGGCCCGATAGCCCGCCCCGCCAAGGAAAGAGCGGCCTCGCTATCGAGTGCACACCGCCGATCTATCGGCGATGCGTCGCCGAGCCCAGGTCGGTGTGTCCTCCCGGAGCTGGTCTACACCAGTCGAATGTGCCAGCCCCCGATGTGCTCTGCCCACAGGAGGGAAAAAAAACACAGACACAATTAATCGTCGATTCCCCGGAAAATGTAGGAAAATATGGGAAGTGGCGGGGAAGACAAAAATTTAGAAAATATGGGAAAAGATGGGGGAATCCTGTTGTTTGTGTGTCTTTATTTGTATTTGTGTGTCTCAGGGCCCTTTCAGAGTAGCGCGGCTGCCCCTCGTGCCTGCCGCCCAGCGGCTCCGCTCTCGTCCACAGAAGCTTGCGCTGCGCGGCCGCCCCGAAGGTCGACGAAGGCCACCTCCCATGCCACGACGGGGGGGGGGGCAGCGACGCTCACGATCCACCAAAAACCACCCAGGCCCAACCTGACCCGAAGGCCCCGGGTTGCCCTCCGTTCCCCGCGTGGGGGGGCATCGGGGGGGCATTCTTTGAAATTACCCGGGGGCGTGCCCAGCCCTTTGTACACAGGATTGCAAAAAAAACGAAGGATTGCACGAAGGATTGCAAAAAAAAACCCTTCGTTTTTTTTGCAATCCTTCGTTTTTTTTGCAATCCTTCGTTTTTTTGTTGCAATCCTTCGTTCAAGGGGCGGCCATACATCGGACCGGTCAATACAGAAGCAAGCACTGAAGGAGCCGCCGTGCGCTTGAACGCTTCGCCAGAGAACGTTGGCCAGAGCCAAAATATTTCACATTCGCGGCATCACTCTTAAGAGTGAGATCGCCGGCAGGAAGGCGACCGGGGTCCTGGAAACATACCGATGAAGGGGGAACTGGTGACATGCTTCGTGGGAGCAACAGCGCATCGCGCTAGGTTCCCATTACAGAACAGCGCGATGCGCGCTAAGACAGAACAGCGCCCTGCGCTAAGCGCTGCAAGTGCCCGAGTGCATTACGGACGAAAGGCAGCAGAAGATTCGATGCGGCATGGGCACATGACAGTGCCATGCGCTCCGTGACGCCCCATCCCGCTACGATCTGCGATGAAACAGCGCAAGGAGGTCTCATGGTGTTCCCCGTGCGACACCCCTCCGCTGGACCTCCCAGGGACCACGGTAATGGCGACAGTTTCGCAGATCGCAGCCCCCCAGGTCTCGTGGTGATCTGCACGGGACGTACCTCCGCTGGGCCTCCCAGGAGCCCACGAAAGTGGCGACTGCTTTGCAGATCGCAATCCCCCAGGGGACGGCGAGGTTTGGTGATGATCTGTGTAGGACGTACCTCCGTTGGCCCTCCCAGAAGCCCACGGAAGTGGCGACAGTTTTGCAGATCGCAGCCCCCCAGGGGGTGACGAGGTCTCGTGGTGATCTGCTTGGAACGTACCCCCGCTGGCCCTCCCAGAAGCCCACGAAAGTGGCGACAGTTTCGCAGATCGCAGCCCCCCAGGGGGTGACGAGGTCTCGTGGTGATTTGCGTGGGACGTACCCCCGCTGGGCCTCCCAGGAGCCCATAAAAGTGGCAACAGCTTCGCAGATCGCAGCCCCCAAAGGGGCGGCGAAGTTTCGTTGTGATCTGCGTAGGACGTACCTCCGCAGGGCCTCCCAGGAGCCAACGAAAGTGGCGACTGTTTTGCAGATCGCAATCCCCCAGGGGACGGCGAGGTCTGGTGATGATCTGTGTAGCACTTACCTCCGTTGGCCTTCCCAGGAGCCAACGAAAGTGGCGTCAGTTTCACAGATCGCAGCACCCCAGGGGACGGCGAGGTCTCGTGGTAATCTGCACGGGACGTACCCCCGCTGGGCCTCCCAGGAGCCAACGAAAGTGGCGATTGTTTTGCAGATCGCAATCCCCCAGGGGACGGCGAGGTCTGGTGATGATCTGTGTAGCACTTACCTCCGTTGGCCCTCCCAGGAGCCAACGAAAGTGGCGTCAGTTTCACAGATCGCAGCACCCCAGGGGACGGCGAGGTCTCGTGGTAATCTGCACGGGACGTACCCCCGCTGGGCCTCCCAGGAGCCAACGAAAGTGGCGATTGTTTTGCAGATCGCAGCCTCCCAGCGGACGGCGACGTCTCGTGGTGATCTGCGTAGGAGGTACCTCCGCTGGCCCTCCCGGAAGCCCACGAAAGCGGCGACAGTTTCGCAGACCGCGGGCCGAAGGCAGGAGACAGAAGGCAGGCGGAAGGAGAGAGGAAGAGGAGGGAGAACGGGGGAGGCGGGAGGAGGGGGATGAGGAGAAGGAGAGGTGAAGACCACTGTGCTCTATTCAAAACGAGTACCCAACCAAGGGAGGGTTGGAAAAAACGAGGAGGAGGAGAAAGGAGATAGGAAGGAGGAGGGGGGAGGAATGAGTGAGTGAGTGAGTGAGTGAGTGAGTGAGTGAGTGAGTGAGTGAGCAAGCGAGGGAGCGAGTGAGTGAGTGAGTGATGGAGACCACTGTGCTCTAGTCAAAACGAGAACCCAACCAAGGGAGCATTAAAAAAACGTATCTGAAACCCGTGCCCTCCGACCCGAAATTCGGGTCTCCGGGTTGGGCTGTGGTGCTCTGGCAGGCGGTCAGAATTGGCACGCTGTGTCGCCAGACCCCTCCGTGTTTTTCGGGGCCCGAGAGGCCCCGGCCGACGGGCCCGCCGCCCTGCGGCTGCTGGACGCGCAGCTGTCCCTCCTGGTGGACGTCGCCGAGTCCGCTCCGCACGGCGGCACCGTCCTGGTCCGGCGGGCGGCCCGTGGGCTCGGCGGGGGCAAAGGCCGCGGGGGGGGATCAGGGACGATGTATCGATCATGTTTTCGTACCATTTTTGAGTATCGTTTGACTTTTCTGACTTGTCCCTCAAAAGCTGCCTGTAGGGGGGACACGCCCGACCCAAGAGTGGGCTCGACAGGAGGTTCGCGGACGCGTCCGCCCAGCTCCTGGAGATCTTCCTGCCTCGGGATGCGTTCCGGCAGCTGCGACTCGCAGCGGGCTTTCCGGGGTTGCCCGGATCGTCCCGGACGGCCGCCGGATGGCCGAGTTATGACCCGCATGGTGTTCCTTTCAGGGGCAGCGTTAGGGGGGGTTAGGCTCGGGGGAGCGCATCGACCCTCAATCGCCGATTGATCGCGAACATGGGACCGACAGCCATCCCCGCCTGAGACCATGCGGTTTCTCCATCGGGGGGCATGTCGCCGATTCATCGGCGACGTGTCACCGATTGCAGCTCGATGCTTCCGCCCCTGAGCTTGTCTCCTCCCCGATCGTTCCCCCTCAGACGCGCACCTCCTTCTCCGACGCACAAAAGAGGCCGGTTCCTGGCCCTGGTGGACTAGGAGAGGGGTCGAGATCCCAGGGGCCCGTCGCGCAAAAATCCTCGCCTCCTCTGGATGCCGCGAAGAAGGTGCTCAGCAGCGTGCCGTCGCCAGGGCCCGTTCCCCAGGCATCGGGGCCGTCAATCAACGGCTCGGGATGAAAAGCCAGTTCTTGGGACTCGGCATCGCTCGGACGTGTGCATTTTTACTTTGGCGAGGACCATCGAGGAGCATCCTTGATCATTTGGCGAAAAAGCCACGCACGAAACCGAAAACAGCACAGGGAATGGACGTCCGAGCGATGCCCAAGTGGGAAGAGGTCCAGATCCTTATGGGCTTGTGCCACATCAGAGGAGAGGGTCTAGGCGTCCCAGATGGGGTCCGAGCAGCTGGGGTCGGAGGATCGCGCCGCATCGGCGATGCATCGGCGATGCGGCTCGATGTGGAGCCCGATTGTCCCCACGCCGACGTCGCCGATGCATCGGAACTGCGGCGCGATCCTGCAACCCCATTTACTCGGACCCCACATAGGCGGCCTCTAACGAAGAACTAGTTCTGGGGAGGAAGTCAAGATCCCTATGACTTGTGCCACGTCGGAGGAGAGGGGGCGCTGATGGACACGGCAGGATCCTCCTCGAGGTCATGGTAGGGACAGCAAGCTCCAGGACAGGCACGGGGGTGCTATTTCTTACGGGGCAGGGATCTTCGGGCCTCTCGTGCCGGAGGTTGCCAGAGGTGCTCCTGGCCCAGGGCGCCCCCAGCTTTTTCCACGACGTGCAACAGGAGCCCCCAGGGCCCTCCGCTCTGGAGGCCCCGGGGGCCTCCCGGGAAGACCTCGGGGGCCAGGGGCACCCTGCCCAGCACCCGAGCCAGTCTCGGGCATCTCGCGGGGGGACTCCGGGGGACCGCGGGCGATCCCAGGGAGCCTCCTCGGCAGGGGCCTCCGGGGGGGGGCCCGCGGCGGCGCGCCGAGAGAGGTGGGCGGGGCAGGGCGGGGGAGGCCGGCACGCCTCGAGAAGGCAGGACACTGCCCAGGCGCCTGCGGAAAGCCCTGCGGCGCCCGCCCCCCCCCCCGTCGCGGCCCCCCACTTCTCCCTGCGGCAGGTTCGTGTCTCCGGGCCTCCCAGAGGGGGCCGGAGTGAGTTGGGTCGGAGGATCGCGCCGCATCGTCGATCGATCGGCGATGCGGCTCGATGTGGGGCCCGATGTTCTCCACGCCGGCGTCGCCGATGCATCGACGATGCGTCGCCGATGCATCGCCGATGTATCGCCGATGTATCGGCGATGCGGCGCGATCCTCCGACCCCATCTAATTACGCGGACCCCATCCATGAGGCCTCTAGTGTCGCATCGACACGGCGGCGAATCCGGCACGGGCGCTCAATGTTGAACGCCGATAGTGGCCCAGAGTCGGCCGGCAGTCGAAAGGTCCGCGCTATCGGAAAGCCAGGGTCGTTCGAGGTGGACCTATCCGCGCGGTGTCAGACTCCAACGCGCCAGTCGTCACGGCGCGAACCTACCGTACGTGCGCGTCGCCATTGCCCGCGGGCCCCATGACCACCGCCAGGCGGCGGGGAGCGGGACGGCATCGCGGGCGCGTGGGGCAGCGCCTTCATGCGGGGGGGCTACCACTTCTCGGCCAGCTGCCTCTTCGCGTCCATATGCAGGGGAGCCAGACGCGCACGCCCGCCTCGCCTCCCCCGCCCCCCTTTGCTCCGTGCCTCCTCCCGCTTGCTCCTCGCTCTCTGCGTCGCCGGCGGCCGACCGAGGGCCTGGGCTCCAGGACCCAGGCCTTCGAGCGCTCCCTGCGCCTCCCTGCGCCTCCAGGAGGGCCCTCGCGGCCACGACCAGATCCGGCTGGAGCCGCCTCGAGGTTCTGGCCGGAGCGCGCCTCCCCCAACACACCACCCCCCTCCCGCCACCTCGCGCCAGGGGGGCAAGGCAGGCAGTTATGGCTGGTCGGCAAGGGGGCGGCGCAGTCTGCCTGCTCCCCGCTTGTCCTGATCAACACCATCGAGACCGCGTGCACCTGGGAGGCCTTCCCGGCGCTCCACTGGGCGGTGCTGGCCACCGCCCGCGCCGCCGTGCGTGCGCACTGCGGCGTGGAGGGGCAGGTGCGCGGCGCAGGGAGAAGTGGCGTCGGCTGCGCGGACAGGCGTGCGCAAGCTGCCTGCGCCAGATGGCGCGCGCGCGCCCAGGTGTCCGTTGCATCCTGCCGCGCTGGACGCGCAAGGCGTAAGGTCGCTATGCCATCGTGCGTCAGACCCGTTGTTGGTTCGTCGCTCAGGTGACCTGCCGCCTCACGCACGTGTACCCCGACGGCCCCGCGCCGTACTACACCATCATCGTCCCGCACCTGCCGCCGGGGCCCCGCGCGAGGCCCGGCGGCGAGGACGCGCGCATCGGGATGTGGCAGGCCATCAAGCGCGCCGTGATGGACACCATCCTGGCCCAGGGCGGCACCGCCACCCACCACCACGCGGTGCCTCGAGGGGGGGGGGCCGGCTGCACACCTGCACTGGTCCTGGCCGGGCTGGTCCTTGGGCCCACTTCCTGTGCGCTCCCGGCCAGGCCACTGGGGAGGAGGAGGAGGCGGAGGAGGCGGAGGAGGAGGAGGAGGAGGATGAAAAGGAGGAGAAGGAGACTGAGGAGGAGGAGGAGGAGGAGGAGGAGGAGGAGGAAGAGGCCCAGGGCGGGGCTATCCGGGATCGATGCAGGCGAAGTGGCTGTCCCCGCAGGTGGGGAGGCTCCACATGCCGCAGTGGGCGGCAGAGCGGGGCGTCCTCTTCGGCCCTGCCTTGGAGGCTGCCAAGAGGGCTCACGACCCTGCGGGCATCATGAATCCAGGCGTGTTGATCGAGACCGCCGGGGCCGCGAAGTTGTGAGGCCGTGCGCGATCCGACCTTCGCCTTCGGCCTCCAGCAGCGTGGGCCGAGTGCCAGTCGCAGGAAGAAAGAGCATACGGCAGGTTCGTGTCGCGTCGCGTGGCTGCGACCTTGGCGCGGCCGTTCAATGTTGAAAGCCGGTAGTCGCCTGGAATCGGCCGACACCGAACGATCCACGCCATCGGGAAGCCGCGATCTCTTGAGGGTTCGGGTCGGACGAAGGGGAGGGATTGACAAAAAGGGGGAGTCGCGAAAGCCCTGCATGCAGCTGGCTTCCGCCCCACAGCTCGACGCTCTCCCCGAAACAGGGGCGCCTCCGGCGCGGGGAGGCGCCAGGAAAGCCGGCCATGCCAGCTGATTCACTCGCCCCCCTCTGAGAACCCGCGGTCCTCCGATCTGGTTCTCGAAATCAGGGCTCAGCCGGGCAATTCCGGGTGCCCTGCGCCGCCACGGAGCCGATCGATCGACACATCCGCCGCAGTTCGCGGCGGCGGCGAGCCGTGCGGCGCCAGCTTGCAGAGACGGCCCGGGAGGGCCACCCACGTAGGGCTCCAGGGCGAGCCAACGGGACTCCACGCACGCGGTCGCCAGGACGGCCCATCTCGGACGTTTGCTCCTCCTTCCCCTCTCCCCCCCTCGTCCCGAGCTCTCCCCAGGGGTGACTCCAGGATCCCTCCCTGGGGCGAGAAGGTGGAGGAAGGAAAAGGGGGAGGGAGAAGGATGCAGAGGAGCGAGCGGTAGGAGGAGCAGCAGGAGGAGGAGAAGGACAACGACAACAACCATTGCCACGGCGGCGACGATTCCGAGGAGGTGACCTGTCCTGGATGCCACGACCCTCCTCCCCGACCAAAAATCTGCTCTCCGACCTTTCCAGGGGCGCCCGCTGGCCAGAGTCCTGATGCGGATCCAGTGGTGACGACGATGGCGCCTTGGAGACCAAAAGGAAAGGACCAAGAAACGTCAAGACCCCCCCGCTTCCTCCCATTCCCTCCCCGATCTCTGGTGGCGAGTGCAGTCATACCCGCGGCGTGTCGTGGAGGGCGTTATGATCAAGAGCTCAAGGCGGATGACGCGGTGATGAGGGCGCCCCAGTGCAGGCGACGAAGACCCGAAGACGTCCCCGAAACTTCCACGCCCCCCTTCCGTCCCGAGAGCGCCCCGCGGGTTTCTTCCCCGCTCGTCCCCCGCGCCCACCCCTCGGCACGCGCAGCCGCGGCGACGTGAGCGACGCCTCTGCAGGACCAGAGCGGTCCGACAGCTGCAGATCGTCGCCGACGTCTTCGCCGCCGTCGCCGCCCCGCGCTCCCGCGCGCGGGAGGGCGCATGGGTAGGAGGAGGAGGAGGAGGAAGAGGAGGAAGATGAAGAAGAGGAGGACGAGGAGGACGAGGAGGAGGAGGATGGGGACCAGTGTAAACACAAAACTCGTCAACGACGTTAGAATAAACCCTCCCCAAAAGCTCACGTTAGTTCATCTCCATTGAGGGAAGTGCCCGTTGGGAAACAACCGTTTGAGGACTCTGAAGCGTCCCAAAACGCCATTCTCAGAATTGCGAATCCGCTAACGAACTTGATTGTTGTTTCTTGACGATCCTAAATCGCGCAAGAATACCGTTACTAGGACTTCAACACCGCGAATCAATTTAAGTGTTGCGCCCTGACAGTCGAGAATCGCTCCAAAAGTCCTTGTCTGGTTCGCTAACCATGGGGACCCGTGAGAAGCTTGCAATGTTGCAACACGAATGTGCGCGGCGTTAAGGCGAGAGACACATGTTGAAGAAGAACCGCCCTCAACCCGCGAAACTCTTGCGAGTGTGTAACACGAATGTGCGCAGCGGAAGGGCAAAGCCACATGTTGAAAACGGCCCGCCCCCAATCCGCGAAACTCTGGCAATTGTTTAAGAGCGATTGTGCGCGATGCGGAGGCGAGAGCCACATTTTGGAAGCGACCCGCCCTTCATCCGTGAAACTAGCGCCATTGTTGAAACTTCAGGGTCATACATGGTGGTGAATGATCAGGCGAAGCGCCCAGCCCGCCCTTCCGACCGGCCTCGGGGTGCGACAGGGAGGAGTCATTCATTAGGAGAGAGGAGGAGGAGGAGGAGGAGGAGGAGGAGGAGGAGGAGGAGGAGGAGGAGGAGGAGGAGGAGGGGGAGGAGGAGAAGAAGAAGACGGCGGAGGAGACGGCGGCGGCGGCGGAGGACTCCTCCTCCTTCTCCTCCTCCTCCTCCTCCTCCTCCTGCTCCTCCTGCTCCTCCTCCTCCTCCTCGTCCTCCTCCTCCCTCCTCCGCCTCCTCTTCGTCTTCCTCCTCCGCCTCCTCCGCCTCCTCCTCCTCCTCCGCCTTCTCCTCTCTCTCCTCCTCCTTCCCTCTCTCTCTCTCTCTCCTCCTCCGTCCTCCGCCCTCCCTCTCCTCCTCCTTCCTCCTCCCTCCCCTCCGCCTCCTCCTCCTCCTCCCCTCCCCTCCTCCTCCTCCTCCTCCTCCTCCTCCGCCTCCTCCTTCTCCTCCTCGTCCTCCTCCTCCTCGTCCTCCTCCTGCTCCTCATCCTCATCATCCCCTCCCTGCCTCCCTTCTCCGTATCCCTACTTCTCGCTGCCTCGTCGTCGCCACCCTCGCTGGCACGTGGGCAGGCGTGCCCCTCTTCGGGTCCGCCCTGGGCGCGTGCGTGGAGGCGCTGCGCGCAGGGGCGGCACCGCCCACCGGGTCGCGCCCGCCAAGCCCTGCCGGGCTGGGGCTCGGCCTGGGCCCGGACTGGGAGGCGCGGGGGGTGGGCTCCTCTCGGGGGAACGGGGGGAGGGAAGAGGGAGGGCCGCCTTTGGGAAGGGGAGGGAGGGAGGAGGGAAGCAGGAAGGAAAGAGAGGGAGGGATGGCGGAGGAAGGACGGAGGGCGGAGGAAGAGCCTCCCCATCCGCCTCGCCCTCCCCCTCCTCCTCCTCCTCCTCCTCCTCCTCCTCCTCCTCCTCCTCCTCCTCCTCCTCCTCCTCATCATCATCATCATCATCATCATCCGTCTCCGCATCGTCCTGGTCCACCCCTTTTCCTTCGACATATAGATAATTATATCTATATACACCTATACGACCAGCCTTCGGGTGATAAGGAGGTGAGGGGGAGGAGAAACCAACGTCTCACTCAATCGACCTCACTATCGATCCCACAATCGATCTCACTATCGATCTCACTCGATCGATCTAACTATCGTTCCACCATCGATATCACTATCGATCTCACTCGATCGATCTCACTATCGATATCGCAAGCGGTTTCGTTATCGGTCTCACGATCGATCTCACTATCGATCTCAATATCGATCCCACCATCGATCGATCTCACTATCGATACCACTATCGATCTTACTATCGGTCTGACTATCGATCGCATGGTCCATCTCACTATCGATCTCACTATCGATCTTACTATCGATCTCACTCGATCTTACAATCGATATCACTATTCATCTCACTATTGATCTCACTATCGATCTCACGATCAATCTCACTATCGGTCTCACTATCGATCTCACTATCGATATCACAATCGATTTCGTCATCGGTCTCACTATCGTTTTCGCATCAGCGGGACACCTGGACACCGGCGGGACACCGCGGGCCACCGCTTGCCGGAGGGAGAATCATTTGGTCCGGCCGGGGCCCAGCCACAAGCGGGACACCGGCGGGACACCGGCGGGACACCGCGGGCCAGGGAGAATCATTTGGTCCGGCCGCGCCTCAGCCACAGGAGATTGTCCTCTCGCCCGCCCACGCAGCTTCGCCTCGCCCGCACGCGCGGCACGCAGGAACACGAAACCGAAGCCGATTTCCCGGTGGGGGGCTCTCCGTTCCACTTCGCTCTCACCCCCTCACCTCCGATGTTGGCAAATATGTGTATATGGATCTATAACACACCAGAGAAAAAAACCATCAGTGGATGGTTTTGGCTGAGGACATCGACTGGGAACCCAGGAGCCCGGGGACCCAGAACCCACCGAAATCGGCCCAGAACCAGTAACCGGGAACCCAGGAACCCGGAACTGGGAACCCGGGAACCCAGCACGCTACCAAAATCGGCGGGAAATTTTCGCCAAATATTTCAAGTGCACCAGAGAAAAACCCCAATCAGTGGATGGTTTTCGCTGAGGAGATCGACCGCGAACCCGAGAGCAGCCCAGGAAGCCAGAACCCACCGAAATCGGCCCCGAACCAATAACCCGGGAACCTGGAACCGGGAACCCGGGAACTTTGGTTACTAACAAAATCGGCGGGAAACGTTCGCCAAATCTTTCAATTTCCGCTAGGACCCTTTCAGTGCAAGCACTGATTGGGGAATTTCCGCTAGGACCCCTTCAGTGAAAGTATTGATTGGGGAATATCTATATATATACATATACCGGACATATATATACACATATCTGTGTATAAAGACATGCATATAAATATGTATATATACATATACATATATATATATATATATGTGTGTATGTATGTGTGAGTGTAGCGATACAGACTACAACAGAGAGAAACCACAATCAGTGGATGCTTTTCCTTGTGGAGATCGACCAGGAACCCAGGAGCCCAGGAACCCAGAACCCACCGAAATCGACCCCGAACCAATAACCGGGAACCTGGGAACCTGGAACCGGGAACCCAGAAACCCAGCATGCTTCCAAAATCGGCGGGAAATGCCCGCCAAATCTTTCAATTTCGGCTAGGGCCCTTCAGTGCAAGCACTGATTGGGGAATCTATATATAGTACGTATGTACGTATGTATGTATGTATGTATGTATGTATGTAAGTATATATATATGTATACATATGTATACTTATATACATATATGTATGTACTCCTCCCTGTCTCACCTCCAGACGTGTCGGAAGGGCGGGCTGGGCGTTCGGCGGAGATTTCGTCACAAATTATTATTCTGAAAGTTGGATTCTGCAACAGCTTCACGGGTGGAGGGCAGGCCGTGTTCAACATGTGGTTCTCGCCTTAGCGCTCCGATTTTTTGTTTGAAAAGGTGTCAGAGCTTAACGGGTGGATGGCGGGCGGCTTCCAAAAGGTGGCATTCGCCTTAGCACCGTGCTTATTCGTTTACAAGGTTTGCAGCAGTTTCACGGATTGAAGGTGGGTCCTGTTCGAAAAGTGGTCCTTGCCTCAGCGCCGCGCACATTCAGTTTAAAAGTTTGCAGCAATTTGAATGGTTCGTATATTTGAAGTCCCAGGAGCGGCGTTCTGCCACGATCCAGGCCTGTCTGGACGCAGCAGTCAGTCACGTTCATTATCTGTGTTGAAGTCCCAGCAACGGTGTTCTGGTACGGTTTGAGACTGTCAGGACCCACTTGTCATATTGATCCGCGGTGCTGAAGTCCCAGGAATGCCCAATGAGAGTGAATTCTTATTTGGACGTATGAAGCGAGAACTTGGAGGGTGTGTTGCAACATTGTTGATGCGTCTTGAGTGTACATTGATCCTCCGCTTCCTCGAGTCCCTACTCCTCCTCCTCCGCCCCGCCATTCTTTGAAAAAGAGGACAGGCACACCCAAACACCAATCAAAACACCAACAGAACACCTCGGCCAGACAGAACGCTAAAACACCAAAAGGTCAGAGGGGACAAAAGATCAACCAAAAGAAGAGGTCGAGAGGTCCAGGGGGGGGGGCATGCAGCGTAGCAACAGCGACCACAGGGAGGTCGAGGCTCGAGGTCGAGGCTCGAGGGTCGATGATCTCAGTTTTGGACACCTGGGGTTCTCTGTTGAGCCACCTGCGGCGTTCTCGTCGCCACAGCGGCCCCGCCTTCGAGGTCCTGGCCAGAACGCGCTCCGCGACTGGCCCGGGAGCCGACGCGGCGCCGAGTGGGTCAGCCGAGGCTTCGCCTTCGTGGGCGCCTCGTGGGCGCCTCGTGCGCTGGATGCCTCGTAGGCTTCGCCTGGTGCCCGCCTCGTGGGCGCCTCGTGCGCTGGGTGGGGCAGCCGCGGCGGCACCAGGCGGCTGCCCGTGGGCGGCTCGGTGGGCGCCTCGTGCGCCGGGCGGCCGCATAGACTGCACTATAGATCCGTGCTCGCGCCTCGTGCGTCAACATCATCATCACCGCCACCAGGATGGCTACGGATGGTGGTGGTGGCGGTGATGATGACGATGCTGGTGATGATGATGACGATGATGATGCTGATGCTGATGCTGACGGTGATGAAGCTGTTGATGATGATGGTTATGTTGATGATGATACTGATACTGATGATGCTGATGATGTTGTTGATGATGATGTTGATGTTGATGCTGATGCTGCTGTTGCTGCTGCTGCTGATGATGATGTTGGTGCTGGTGGTGGCTGCCCGTGGGCGACTCGGTGGGCGCCTCGTGCGCTGGGCGGCCACACAGCCTACACCGCGTCACACGCCCTCCACCACATCGCACACACCACACGGTGTGTACATCACGCCCTCTGCACCGACGCCCGTCGAAATACATCATGCACACGCGCGCCCGCAGATATAGATACAGGTGGGCCCACATGGAAGCAGAAATGAGAAGGCATGCATGTGTATTGCACCGCACAGGCACAGTGTACACAACATGGCTTCCACATAGCTTGCGCCGCATATCTTACATCGCGCAGCTTACATCGCATAGATTGCAAAGCATAGCGTACAGCGCATAGGTTGCACCACCGAGATTGCGCCACATGCCTTACACAAGATAGCTTGCACCACATCGATGAGGCAGGCATCCGCAATGCAATGTCTAACTGTTGTGGGGCCACGCTGACACATGTAAAGGTCATGATAATCCATCAGTATTGTGGTTCACCCTTTCGCTCCCGACATGCTCTTGATGCATCTAGATGGCCCCAAGAGAGCCCCAAGACGGGTCTCGGAGGGACCCAAGACTGTCCCAAAGGCCCCCCAAGCGGCCCTCAGGGAGGCCAAAGAGAGTTCCAGGAGAGCGCCAAGACCGTCCAAACTACGAAAATGCCAGTACAAGTCCGCGTCAGTGGCGTTCAACAGGCCCGAGACGGTCCGAGAGGCTCCCAAGAGGCCCCCAATACCATGGGATAGGCAGAGGGGATAACCACTCCCCCGAAGAGGAAGAAGGGGTCAGATACGGAAACACCCTCGGCCACCTCCGCCCAGAGGGCTGGTGGCATTTTCTGGCGCCGAGGGGCCGTGTTCGGATTCCAAAATCGTCAAAAAAAACGATCCGAGATGAAACGGCCCGAGAGGTCAGAGGGCACGCGCTGAGAAAACACTACGTGGGAGTCCTGTGGAGGGCTCATCCTCCACTTTCTCCTGCTTCTGCTCCTCTTCCAGGCGCTTGTCATTCCATGGGGGGCGCCCACCACAGTGGAAAGGAAAACCTGTAACGGACGTCTGCGGAGGGGGGCGTGGGATGGGAGGACGTATTAACAAACCTCCTCGTCTTCCTCCACTTGCTCCTCATCATCATCCTCATCCTCCTCCCCCTCCCCCTCCTCCCCCTCCTCCTCCTCCTCCTCCTCCTCCTCCTCCTCCTCCTCCTCCTTCTCCTTATCCCCCTCCTCCTCTGGGCCGTCAGGGGCCCTCCCCCCGCCGCCGCCGCCGCCTCAGCATGGCGGAATGGGTTCCTGAGGGAAGCGGGTCCTGGACTCTGGCGCCTTCCCCCAGGACGAGTTGTTCATCCTGAGTCGTTTTGTTGACGGTCCTGGGGCCCGCGGGGAGGCCCCAGGAGAGCTCAAAAAAGGCTACGAAAACCTCGGGACGGGTTTCCCCTTATCGCGACCGCCCCTCCCTCCCGAGGCCCTTGAAGCGTTCCGCGTCCAGCTGCGCCGCGGCCTCCAGCCCTCTGCCTCCTCCTCCTCCTCCTCCTCCCCTCCTTCCTCCTCCTCCTCCTCTTGCTCCTCCTCCTCCTAGTCCTCCTCTTCATTCTTCTCCTCCTCCTCCTCCTCCTCCTCCTCCTCCTCCTCCTCCTCCTCCTCCTCCTCCTCTTCCTCCTCTTCCTCCTCCTGCTCCTCCTCCTGCTCCTCCTCCTCCTTTTCCTTCTCCTCTCCTCCTCCTCCTCCTCCTCCTCCTCCTCCTCCTCCTCCTCCTCCTCCTCCTCCTCCTCCTCCTCCTCCTCCCTCTCCTCCTCCCCCTCCTGCTTCTCCTCATCTTCTTCGGAGGAGGCGTGGGATGGGAGGACGTATTGACGTTCCTCCTCCCCCTCCTCCTCTTCCTCCTCCTCCTCCTCCTTCTCCTCCTCCTCCTCTTCTGGGCCTTCGAGGGCCCTCCCTCCCACGCCGCCACCCCTTCCTCCTGAGGCCCTCGAGGCCTTCCGCGTCCAGCTGCGCCGCGGCCTCCGGCCCCCGCCTTCGCCCGCTGGCCGGGACGAGCTCCTCGCATACGCGCTCGTAAGGTTGGGCGGGGGCCTGGCCATCGGCGGCCCCTCGGCGGCCCTCGGCGGCCAGTGCAGCGACGCGGAGGGCGGCGTCGTCGGCCACGTCGTCATCGTCGTCGTCGTTTCTTCCTCCTCCTCCTCCTCCTCCTCCTCCTCCTCCTCCTCCTCCTCCTCCTCCCCCTCCTCCTCCTTCTCCTCCTCCTCCTCCTCATCATCATCCTCCTCCTCATCCGCCTCCTCCTCATTATCCTTGGTCTCCTCCTCTTCCTTCTCCTCCTCCTCTTCCTCTTCATCTTCATCGGCCTGGGTGTGTGGGTGTTCAGTCTGTGCAAAGCCAAAGCCTTCACAGAAGACTCGAAGAAGTCCAGGTTTAAGGAGAGGTGCGCGGACACTTCCCCGTCACAGGCGTTCGCCAACGATAACCACGGCCACAGCCTTGTCGTAGCCGATGTTGACTCAGGCGGGAAATTTATCATGGCGTGTCAGAAGTGCGGAGCTTATGCTGGTTCGAGTCCTCGCAATGTGAACAATGAGTGTCCTGCGCCATTCGCCGAGAGATAGGTTCAGGGAGCACGGTTTGCCTGGGAGCACAGTTGCAAGGGCAAGCATCCCAAGACGGCAGGGATTCAACTACGTTCCCCGTTCCTTTTAGGGCAGTTGCTGGCTTCGCTGGCCTCAGAGGCGGCGCAGGAGCAGGAGCAGGAGGGACGAGCTCTCCTGTCGCCCCGCCGCCCCGCCGCTGGTGCAGCCCGAGCGCGCGCCGCCTCTCCCGGGATGGGGCTAGGACGGACGGGCAGCGATTGCCAAGGTCATGGACTGGGTCTGGTCGGCCAACCCTTAACCTTCTCTTCGTTCCTACTGCGTGCTGCTCCTGCTCCTCCTCCTCCTCCTCCTTCTCCTCCTCTTCCTCCTCCTCCTCCTGCTCCTGCTCCTCCTCCTCATCATCATCATCAGCATCATCAGCATCAGCAGCACCATCATCATCGGCCTCCTCCTCCTCCTCCCTCCCTCCCTCCGTCCCTCCCTCCCTCCCTCCTCTCCTCCTCCTTCTCCTCCTCCTCCCCTCCTCTCCTCTCCTCCTCCTCCTCCTCGTCCTCCTCCTCCTACTCCTCCTCCACCTCATCCTCCTCGCCCTCCTCCTCCTCCTTCTCCTCCTCCTTCCTCCTCTTCTCCTCCTCCTCCTCCTCCTCCTCCTCCTCCTCCTCCTCGTCGTCCTCCTCCTCCCTCTCCTCGCTCTCCTCCTGCTTCTCCTCTCCTTGCTTGTCCTCGTGGTCCCTCCACCCTCGGGGGGCGTCAACTGGCCGCCTCACGATCCTGGCAGGGCGCGCCCAGCCAGGATCGACGGTGCCCGACGCCCCCGCCAGCCTCCCCCTCCCCGCGCTCGCGCGAAGGGTGAGCTCATACGAGGATCTTGAGTTAGTTGGCGCGCCCGAGGGGTGCCTGCCCAGGATAGATCTCGCGGGGTGTTCTGCCCCACGAGGCCTCCCCAGACGGGAGCGACCAGCGCGTTGCCGCACATGGCAGGTCTCGCGGGGTGCTCTTCCCAAGGGTGTCAGAGACTGTTCCCGCGCCGTGCCCTGGCAGCACCGCTGCCCGCAGCCCCAGACAAGCACGGCGGGTGCGCCCTGCCACCAGACTCGAAGAGTCGGGCCCTGGGAGGGCTGCATGCCGCCCCCCCGACCAGGGCAAGGGCGGACGGCATAGCGGGGGACGTCGTTGGGTGCGTTGAGGGAGGCTAAGCATTCAAACATTTCCAGGCCTCCCAACTGGGTTCCGCGCAAGTGGAGTCGGAGGATGTTGCGCCGCATCGCCGATGCATCGGCGATGCGGCTCGATGTGGAGCCCGATGTTCTCCACGCCGACGTCGCCGATGCATCGGTGATGCATCGACGATGCAGCGCGATCCTCGGACCCCATTTACTCTGACCTCATCTGGGAGGTTTCTTACCTCTCGGCAGAGGGCCCGTGCTTCGCACCGAAGGGGTGGGGGGCACCGAGGGCGTTCCCGGGCGGCAGACTCTGGCCACCACCAGGCGCAGGGCGAGCCCATCCGCAACCCTCCTCCTCCTCCTCCTCCTCCTTCTTATTCTCCTCCTCATCCGCCTCATCCGCCTCCTTATCCTCCTCATCCCTCCCTCCTCCTCCTCCTCCTCCTCCTCCTCCTCCTCCTCCTCCTCCTCCCCTCCTCCTCCTCCTCCTCCTCCTCCTCCTGCTCCTGCTCCTGTTCCTCCTCCTCCTCCTCCTCCTCCTCCTCCTCCTCCTCCTCCTGCTCCTCCTCCTCCTCCTCGCCGGACGGCAGCACAGGGCCGACGACGTGTTTCGCGCCGCGGGAAGCCATTGGCCGATGGGGGGCGGGCCACGCAATGCGAGACCAAGGGCCCCGAACCAAGGGGGGGAAACCTGGCAAGAGGGGGTGCCTCACGGAGCTCGCTCCGCCCTGCACACCACCCGCCCCCGGGGAAGGCACGCCCCAGGGCCCTTCCTCGGGGGCGCCTGCCTCCGCCGGATCTTCGGTTGGTCCACGGCCCTGTTCGCACTCTGCGGGCACAGGCTGCACCGACCACCCCGCATGGGGGGGGGCGCGGTGCGCGGAAGAGGAGCGAGCATGGAGGAGGCAAGAGGTAAATATGAGGAAAGAGGAGCAGGTCGGGTGGAGCCAGGACCAGGATACATCCGTCCCAGAGCAGAACGCTCTCATCTGGAACGTTCTGAGAAGGCCGCGGCGCCCTCCTCCTCCTCCTCCTCCTCCTCCTCCTCCTCCTCCTCCTCATCATCATCATCATCATCATCATCATCATCATCATCATCGTCGTCATCGTCATCATCTTCCAGAGCCGCAGGAGTTCTGATATTATGTTCACCCGATGCTGCCCTCGTCTTGGCTGCGTCTCAACAGGAGGAGGAAGGATGGGGAGCGGCGGCCTTCTTTAGCCTCGGGTCGCGGGACACCGACTGCGCACACCTACACCGATCCTGGTCGGGGGCACCCATGGCCTGGTCAGGGCCGATTCGGGTGCACTGCTGGCGACCTCCCAGAGGAGGAGGAGGAGGAGGAGGAGGAGGAGGAGGAGGAGGGGAAGAGAGGGAAGAGCGAGGTGGAGAAGCAGGCGAGAGCCAGCGATACCGCCGGCGAGGGGAGGGGAGGCGAGGCATCGTCAGCATGAGCGGCGCCCAAGCGCTGTGGGACGAGTGCAGCGGCGTCCCGGCAGAGCTGGACCCCAGCCTCCTGCCTGGCAGCGGCACGGGCAAGTTCAGGCTGAGATCGGTGCGGGATCGGTCTCTGAAAGTCGTGTAAAAAGGCAGGAGCGCGCGGGCTGTTCGTGTGGGCTCGCATGTTTCAGGTTCTTGCCCGCGTGACTCCGAGCTTGTTGGGTGAATCATGTCGGCACCATCTCTTGGCAGGTGGTCGTGGTTGCTGGGCGAAATGAGGAGAGCTACCAAAAATTGAAGCGTGCGCTCTCACCGCCAAAAACGTTTCGCGTCGCAGACAAAGTCGCGCGCCCACACCCTAAGGCGTCTGGCGTCGCGCACAAAAGACGGAAAGCACTACATACGTTTTTCTGCAGTTTCGGCCTCATGGGGCCGATCGCATGCCTTGGGGCCATCCATACGCGGCCCGCGGTGGGCTTCGACCTTGGCTCCGCTTCTGGCTCCAGTGCTTCCCCCGATAACGGTGTCGGTGCACAGTTTGTCATTTGCTCTTTGGGGGGCTACCAGTCACGGACCTACTCGCGAACAACCCATAGTAGTATTGATAATGTTGGCCTGCCCAACAGACAATGGACCAGAAACAAAGACAAAAATCGGATGGACGCACCCTGCATAAACTACAGTGCGATTTTGGCGCGAAGATTCCGACTTCGACCACGGCAGCCATTGACCCACCGCCGTCGGCGGTCCAATCCAGTCTGGTCCGCCGCTTATGGTGTTGCTATCCCAGGGCGATATCGCTGTGCATGCCCAATTCCGATGCATATTCATGTTCTTCTGGCTTGGCTGCCACCAGTGGGGGTTCTCAAATCGAAAGCGTAGCTCCCGACCAGGCATCCAATACTATCTCTTTGGATGTTGCTGCCAGGCCTCCGGAACCGCGTTCGCCAGGCAGGGCTGAAAACGAGCCCCCGGCGTCCGCTGCCCAGAATCCCATTCAGGACGTTGGTCTCATCCCTCTCCCGCCCTGCCCTGGCCCTCAAGTCCAAGTGGGGCAGTTTTTGCATTCTCCACTACTTGACCCACCACCGACTGGTGTCGGTGACGACGATTTCACTGCAATGTGTCCGACGCCACGAAGCCCGCCCACAAACCCGCCTGTGGCTGCTCCCAGGACCACCACACTCTCCGCCACCGAAAGCTGATGCAGATTCGCCGTGTCCATCAAGACCAGTTTGCGAAAACTTCCCCACGCCTGCCTTGCCGCCTTGGCTGCCGCCTCACCCTGCACCGCCCCATGACCCTCCCCAACTGATGCCAGCCCCATCGAATCCGCACCAGCTTCCTCGCGACGCGACACGCAGGATTATGACGACAAGCATGAGAACCCGATGTCTTTTTTCGTTTGCGACGGATGCACTTTCCTACGGCCTGCCGATGCAGACCATCTTTCCTGCAAAGCGTTCTCCAAAACACTTCAGCATTGCCATCGCAATGGTGGACCCCTTCCTTGGTTGGACCAGTAAAACCAGCCCACCCAGGTTGCGGCAACTGGACCGCGCAGGTTTTCTGTGAAAGTGTCGTTCCGCCCGCCTCCCCTCTTTCGTTGGTGAAGTGCCGAAGTCGTTTCTCAGATCGTGTGGGATGTCTTTCGGTGCTTTGAACGGTTCGCCCAAGTTTTATTCAAAGCGGGAATGTGTTGGGGGAGCGGTTCGGAACAGGTTGGGGAGCGTATCGGACAGATGATGGGAGAGTTTCGGGGCCGTGTTGAGCCACCCGAACTTGTTCTTCCAATCGGTAGCCATGCAGCGCAATGGGCACCTCGGGACCGGCATCGCCAGACTACATAGGATTTGGGCGCCAGTAGATTACTCCATTGCGGTTTGTTGTGTTCCTTCACGTTTGCGCTACTATCATCCTATACCTCTGACCGCCCGCATTATGACACTGTTGGTTACTTGCTTTACCAGAATTCACCTGGATGCATTGCTGCAGGAGTGTCGGCCGCGCTCGCACGCCCCAAAAAGACGGGCAAGCTTGATCATGGCGGGTGGCCCATGCCAGCATGGTTTGCCGACATTCACCGAACCACCAATACTGACTTACGGCGGGTGAAGGAATGGCGGAGACGAGCAAGATGTCGAAAATTTGGACGCTGGTCCAACGAGGAGAACACAGCCACGCTGCACGAGTATTGACTTCAAAAGGCTTGGCGCCAGGGACCGCAGCTACTCACAATGAACTTGTGCATCCAAACCTTCGGACTCCAGCTCCTCTGTCTGAGCCGCTCCTGGAGGCCCAAGACAATTGCAGCCCAAAGTTCGCAGTGGAATTGAACCAAGATCTCTTCCGTACAATAGTCCGACAAACCAGGAGGGGATTAGGTGGAGGATTATGGGGCATCCGCTGTGAATATCACAGAATAGTTGCAGAAGGAACGGCATTCGAAGTGTTAGTTCTACGACGTGGCCAACAGGGCTGCTAAAGCACCCCCCCAAAAAAAAAATCATAACGGACGTGATGTTGAGCTTCTCGCTTACCGCAATACTGAAACCCAGGCCCGGAACATCTCATGCGGTGATGCATTTCGACGGCGTGTAGTCAACATTCACGAGGCAATTTCTCATTTATAGAGTTTAGGACAGCAGTGTGGTCTAACACTTTGGAATCCAAAAACCATGCGGGACCATATTTGCACGACCCCGATGTTCGAGCAGTTCGTGGATCGTTATGTATATGTACGGGTTGATGGGAAAAGATGGCACCAAGGAAATGTTTGATATCATTCTGGGCGGAAATATACCCACCACATTCGTTTGAAAGTAGCGTATATAATTGAAACGTCGCTCCGGCTGTAAATAATGTAGTTACCAACCAAGTAAGCAATGCGTTTCGCACCATGAGGTTGGTTATCGCGAGTCCGTTTGCAGGTCTGGGGGCACAGCAGAATGGAACAAGTATCAGAGCATCGTTTTGCTCTCCCCCTTGGCTATGTGAAAGTCAAGATCCGGAAATCACCCACATGAAATAAAAACCCGAATGCAAGCCCATGGGCTCGACGAGCGTGCGCCCAAGGCTTGGGCACACGCCCGAGCAGGAACCAACAAGTCGCACACTGGGAGCACCGTTCGGCACAGACGTGTACATCATTCGAGACCAGGCAGAGGGAGGAGAAGGCGAATGAATGTATATTTTGCCACCTCAATTCCCGTTTTGGCAATCGGCGCGGTTTCCACTGTATTTTGAGGTGTTCCTGGAATTGTCGAACCAATATTTATATGCAGTTGTACTCTACAGAGCGATGCTGAACCAATATTTGTCTGCATCTACTACACGATACATCATTGATGCTTTCTGCGCCGTATTCAACATCCCGGAGCAGGTTGCGCGGGACGCTGCAGTCCATGGCATTACATGTGCCAAATGTGTTATAGTAGGTAGCATTTCGGAATGATTGCGTTTCGGAAAATTAGTTTGTTGGCGTTGCGGTAGTAATAGTAGTGTTTGGGCACCACGTCCACTTGCTATTGGGAACAAGTTTCGCCCATTCTAGGATCAAGCTTCTTTTCGGGAAACATTTGCCGTATGTTGCAGAAATACGGTTTGTCCATTTGAGAAGCAAATGTCGGGTCGCTTTCGCACCAGAAATATTATTTTCAATGTATGATTGGTTTGAAAAAAGTGTGGCCTCGTGAGGTGTGTTCGATGCTCTGTGTTGTTTATTTCTTGTTTGTTGCGTCATCATATACCTATACGACCACCCTGCGGGTGATAAGGAGGCGGGGGGGAGGGGCCCAGCAATGGGTAACACTAGTGATTGTTGTTCTGACAGAAAAAGGAGGAGGAGGAAAGTTGCCCGAGATGGTTCATGACACCCTTCATTCTTGAGGGCCTTGGTGTTAACAGCCTTGGTGTTAAGAGCCTCAATATCGGTCTCATTGTTGATCTGACAGTCGATCTCAGTGTCGATCTCGCTATCGTTCTCACGATCGGTCTCATCGGTCTAACTATCGACATCCTTGTCGATATCACTATCGATCTCAGCACATGAAACCACGGGAAACCGACGGGACACCGATGGGACACCGACGGGACACAATCGATCTCACTGTCGATCTCACTATCCATCCCACTATCGATCCCACTATCGATCTCGCTATCGATCTCGCTTTCGATCTCACTATTCACCTCACTATCGATTACACTATCGATCTCGCTGCCGATCCCACTCGATCGATCTCACTATCCATCTCAATATCGATATCACGATCGATCTCACTATAGATCCCACTATCGATCTCCCACTATAGATCACACAATCGATCCCACTATCGGTTTCATTATCGATCTCACTATCGATCTCACTATCGGTCTCACTGTCGATCTCACCACGGAACACCACGGGACAACGACGTGACACGGGCGGGTCACCAGTGGGACACCAGCGGGACAGTGGCGGGACACCGCGCGCCACCCGTTGCTCGGCGGAGAACCTTTTGGTCCGGCCGCGGCCCAGCCACGACGGGACACCGGCGGGACACCAGCGGGACACCAGCGGGACACCGGCGGGACACCGCGCGCCACCGGTTGTTGGGCGGAGGTTTTTTTGGTCCATCCGCGGCCCAGCCACAGGAGAATTTCTTTTCCCCTGCGCACGCAGCTTCGCCTCGCCCGCACGCACGGCACGAACACGAAACCGAAATCGATTTCCCGGGAGGGGGGCTCTCCGTTTCACTTCGATCTCACCCCCCAACCGCCGATTTAAACATTTCAATGTTTCAAACTGTTTTCTTCCTGCTCCTACACATTAAGTGTCGTTTGTACCCTGCTGTTTGGATATATATATATATGTACATATATATATATATGTGTGTACATACATACATACATACATACATACATACATACATACATACATTCATACATACACATACACACGTACTTTCATATATACCTTCTCTACGAATCTGAACCACCAACAAGTATTTGTAACGGATGCTCATGTGATATTTCGGTTGAATTTTCCGCGCATTTGACGATTCACGTGTTTCTGGTAGGTTGCGGTCTAAGGGTTTCTTTTAATATTTGTGGGGCGCAGCATTTGGACAATAACATTTGCACAATTCGAGAAACACACAACCATAG